GCTTGCAATACGCGCCTATCAGAACAACTTAGCTCCAATACCAAGAGTCTGTCACTAGGGACTGATCTTGATTGACCCGTCGCTGCTCCCGCTTCCAAGATGACACATCCTTGCCAGCCAACCAGCTGCATAAATACCTCTCTCTCTCCTCCATTGCACTCGGCTTGTATCTCACAACAACCTCGCACACTCATCTACAACTTGTACTGCTATACTGTCCTCGCCTACTTTACCTAATTCCAATTTAACACCAAACAAACATCATGGACTTCATCAACAAGGTTACCGGCAGCGGCAACACCCAGGGCAACTCTGTCAACGAGCAGGTCGTCCAAGGCCAAAACTCCGAGCAACAGTCCTCTGGCTCGGGTGGCTTCCTCGGCGGAATCGGTGACAAGCTCAACTCGGCTGCTGGTGGCGGCCGGGAGAGCGAGAAGAACGAGGACTACCTTGACAAGGGTATGTCAGCACTCCGTCATCGTCTATCATGAGGTGTCCCCATCGTGTGACAGATGCTAACTTCTATTCTAGGTGTCGACTTCGTCCAAGAGAAGTTCATGGGTCAAGGTCCTCAAGACAACGAGTCTGCCGTCGAACAAGCCAAGGACGAACAGATCAGCGACTTCATCCGTGGCCAGTACAAGAGCGCCACCGGCTCCGATATCCCCATCAAGGACAAGGAGACTCGTCTCGGTTAAGCTGTTGAGCTAGAGCTCCGGCATGATCAAGATTATGCGATGAACTAGGAGGATACGAGATCCGCCGGCTATGGACCATCATGACAATGATGGTGACATGAATACAATTATGATAATCACAGAATGAAACAAGAATAATACCCCACAATCAAGCTCATTTTTTTTTTTTGCTTTACGTGATCCCGTCCCTCCTCAGCTATATAACACATGTCCACATCGGCACGTTACAGTTGCTCAATGCCTTCGACAAGCCTATCAAGACTTGCTTCTGATTCGTCAGTCAACAGACCCTTCATCATGCGCGACCTAGTCATTGTTAGCACGTTCTGTCGTCCGTCGCATCCTTTTCTCTAGGTTCGACTTACAGGTTCCCCAGCTTACAAGCCCCCATGCTTTCCTCTAGCTCCGTACTCTTTACTTCCGCCACATCGATGACCTTCTCAGGCACCCTTGCCAATCGCGCTACATTCAAGCCGTAAGATCGATGACTTATACCCTCTGTGGCTTCATATAGAAACACTACCTCCTTTCCGCCATTCTGCTCTTCAAAGCGCATATGGACGTTCTTCAGCTCACCATTGGAGAAGCGACCTGAGAGTTTGGCCAGATGCTGGTAATGCGTGATGAACAGCGTGAGCGACTGCAGGTCCCGGATAACGTAATCAAGCACTGCTTCCGCAATGGCGACACCGTCAAAGGTTGATGTGCCACGACCCAGCTCATCCAGGATAATGAGGGAACGCGGTGTCGCGGATTTGAGGATATCCGAGGTTTCGTTGAGCTCGACCATGAAAGTTGATTCGCCTTTGAGCATGTTGTCAAAGGCGCCCATACGGGTGAAAACCGCGTCTAGCATACCTAGTCGCGCTTCGGTAGCCGGGACGTAGGAACCGATTTGACCCATGATTGCGATCAAAGCTGCAGATCGTACGTATGAGGATTTGCCGCCCATATTGGGGCCAGTAATGAGGAGAGCTCGCGTGGAGTTATGGGAGAGAGAAAGGTCATTGGGAACGTAGTTTTCGAGGAGTAGTTGCTCGACCATGGGGTGCCGACCACCGGTGACGTTGAGCTCGATATTGTCTGTGAAAGTAGGCTTCACATAGCCCGGCTGATTCGCCAACGTGGCCAACGAAAGGAGGGCGTCAAGTGTTGCCAAAGAGGCTACACAGTCTCGGAGTTGTTGATACTTGGATGAAATGTCTTCTAACAAGCCTATGTAGGCTTTTTCGCATGCTGCAGCGAGCGACTCTTTGTACTGGTCTCGTTCTTGGAGCATACGTTTGACTTCTGGAGTGTGGAAACGCAGGGTCGTCTTTGTAGCTGAGATCTGTTGCCATGAAGCAGGTACTTTCTTCTCTTCAGGTGCCTTCCTCTTGACCTCGATCAAGTACTCGATTCCAGCAACTGTGACGTAGACTACTTGGCTTTTCCCCAGCTTCGCAGCCGCATCCTTTCGATGCGTATTGAGGTCGTCTTCCACAGAGGCGATGCTCAGCTTCAGGTCGTTGATATCTTCAGCCTCATGCTCTTCACGAAAGAACGAATATTTGTCATCGTCTTTTGCAGCTTGGGCGTTGATCTTCTCCAAAAAGCTGTTCAAGTCATCGTATATCTTTGGAACATTCGAAACTGCTTCACTCAGGAGTGAGGAGGAGAAGCCACTCTGTTCGGGTGTCTTCGCCGATAGGTACTGGCTCGATATCTCCTGCAGACTCTGCAAAGCTGCCAATAGCTCCGGCCTTGTACACTTCTTGTAGTATATGCGAATGAGCACCTTTTCTAGATCGGTTCTGATTTTTCCGAGCACGAATTTCAGTTTGTCCACAGGTAAGGTGTTTTCGCCTTCCTTGAGTTCCTCCACCGCTGCTATGCGCTCTTCTAATCTCTCTTTGTCTATCAGTGGCCGGCCGACCCACTTTCTCAGCAACCGCTGTCCAAAGCGAGTCTTTGTCCGATTCATGGTCCAGAACAAGCTGCCTTTCGACGTGTAGTCTGTTTGGTTCTGGTAGATCTCCAGACTAGATAGAGTGTTGCCGTTCAGCAACATGTACGACCTGGCGCTGAAGGGTTGGAAGTACTTTGTGAGATCGAAAACATGTTCTAGCCCATACTCGCTAAGATATGTGATCAGTGATGAGAGACATATAGTCACATGCTCTGATAGCTGATGTACTTTGTCGAGGATTGCGCCTTGCTTGTCGGAGTCGTCTTCCTGGCTGGACTTCATTTTACCTGCATAGAAGTTTGAGATGTGACTGTAGGCTTGCGCAGCCATGGTCTTTGGCTTTTCTACCCTCTCGACCCGCGACCTGTCTCCGAAGACGTTGGTCTTGCTAGCAGACAGGTGTTGTATAAGCTTTTCTGTAGCTTTAGACAGGTCGCCAACGACCAAGAACTCGGCTGGCGCAATGTGGAGTAACCGTGTCTCAATGTCGCTACGCATGAAACCATCTTCGAAATCATCGTAGATTATGTCGCCGGTCGCCGGCTGAACAGCCACTAAGCCGACATGAACTTTCTCGTCCGTACCCCATCCTTTCGCATTGCTCTCGGTGATGCAAAGGAGATATCCAGTCGACTGTACGCTAGCGCCAGAGCCTTCGGTGGGGGCTTCCAGGCCCTCAACGTCGTCCACATACGTACCCTTGGTATAAAGATTTGTGAGTTTCCGTACAAAGGGGGCATTTCTGTTGGTACCTGCCGCTTTAAGCGCGGCCGTCTCTAGCTGTCGTACTACACCGACCTTGTGATTCGCCTGTACGAGACGTTTAACATGGACCTGTAGACGATGTGTAGGAAAACTGGCAGATGCGAATCGATCGAGGTGTGCTTCGGAAGGGTGCTCATCGTATCTGAATTTTCCTAGAATGTTGGAGCATAACGTCAGTATAGGTGTCATACGCAGTTTATAATTCAGAGTTCTCACCTGGTATACAGACGATGCCCAGCGCTTTGGACGCGGTTCTTGCGTCCTCGCCAAAGAACTTGTACTTGTAGCCAACCTCCATGACGATGATTGTGTCAAGATGCTTGCGCTTGATGTCCAAATATTGTATTTCCATGGGTGTCAGCTTGCTCGCCTTCTTGGTCGCAGCGCCCTTCTTTCCCTTGGTGGGCTTCTGGGCAGGCTCATCCTCTTCATCCTCGTCTCCGTCGCCTTCGTCGCCATTGGCATTGGGACTGTCGTCGGATATAATCTTGTTGCGCCTCCTGAGTTCGGCAAAGCTATCTGGTCGACCCAGCTTCTTGACGAACTTGTCGTGTAGCCTTTCCTTGTGCCTCTGCGAGAGCGCGGCTTCCTCTTGGTCGTCTTGACGGCTCTCGTCCCGTGCGGGAGGTGACGAGGAGAAGAGAAATTTGGAAGTTCGATCAGTGATTTTTTGGGATTCGGGTACAGACGCCTGTCGCGGCGAATCGCCCTTATCGAATCTAACGCGCTTGGAGGGGGAAGAGCGACGGGTTTCCTGAACATTGTCCTCGTCTATCGCGCGCTTGCGGACGGGGATGGTCTGTGAGACGGGTAAACCATGCCTGTCGTCATCGTTGTCGTCGTCTTGGTTTGGGTCGGTGATGGGGGGTGAAGCAGGCGTTTGCGACGGTTTCTTTGTGAAGAAGCTCGAGATGGTCGGTTGCGTGGCTTTCTGCGACGACTTTGGCTGCGACGACTGACTGTTTTTTGGCGCCATTGAGTGATTCGCGGGGTTGTGACGATACTCGACGTGCCTGTGGAGAAAGCTGGAGACGCGTGAGGCCGGCAACGCGACCAGCTCCGGATTACATCACGGTGTCACGTTATGCAGCTCTCACCCGCAAACTCGGCAACTACCTCGCCCGCAAGGCTGTTTCCGCATTGGGATCAATTCGGGACCAACAACGACTTGAGTCGCAGAGACACTTCCCATCAGCATTTCTCTTTGCTTATACAAACTCTCTGATGCGACGGCTGTTATCAACCGCGGCTATCTCCGACCAACAACGGCCCGGCTTCGTTATCTCAACTACTTCGATAGGCCAAACCTGCCCGTTCGACGAATACATTATTACCTGACCGCGTCCACTCGGCCCGCCCGCGATGGTGCATTTCGACTGCTGCGCACGCAATCCCAGCCTTGGGCTTTTGCAGCTTCCCAATTCGTCGCAGCGCTTACCACTACAAGCTACTACCGTCGCAACTCGGGGATCCACCAAGCCGACTTCGGCTAGTATATAACCTACACCATGAGCCCGTGGTTCGCCTCTCGTAGCCTTGGTGAGCTTGTTCTTCCTCCCTCCTTTCGTCAATACTGTGCTGCTGCAAATATGGCGCGCGGATCGCTGGTCAAGTGTTTCACCGGTCTCTTGACGTTGCAAAGTGCCTTGGGTACTCCCGTCAAGAGTGGGGAATCATGGTCGTCAGACTACCCTTCCAAGCCCATTCTGAAGGAGGGCGAGTTGGGTGCTGTCGCCTCGGAGAGTGATATCTGCAGTCATATCGGTATTGAGTTATTGAAGTTGGGTGGAAATGCCGCAGATGCTATGGTCGGTACTGTAGCATGTGTAGGCGTGGTCGGCATGTACCATTCTGGTAAGATTTCCATATACACATTCGTTTGGCTACTTGCTAATCAGACACAGGTATTGGCGGAGGGGGTTTCATGCTTGTGCGTGCACCAAATGGGACATATGAGTTTATCGACTTCCGCGAGACAGCACCAGCCGCTGCATTTGAAGACATGTACAAGAACAATGAGGACGCCAGCATCAATGGCGGTCTCGCTTCTGGAGTGCCAGGTGAATTGCGTGGCCTTCAACATCTTCACGAGAATTATGGTGTCTTGCCATGGGCCACTGTGCTCACTCCAGCTGTAAAAGTGGCCAGAAATGGCTGGCGAGTGAACGAAGACCTGGTCAAGTACATGGCCTCTGCCACCTCATCGTCCAACTTCTTGGTCGATGACGTCGAGTTTGCCCTTGATTTTGCGCCGAAAGGACGTCTACTCAAGCTCAACGAGACCATTACGCGAAAACGTTATGCCGACACGCTCGAGACCATTGCAAAGGACGGTCCAGATGCATTCTACAGTGGTCCTATTGCAGAAGCCACCATCCGGGCACTTCAAGCTGCCAACGGAACCATGACCCTCGATGACCTCTCCAATTACACTGTCGCCATTCGCAAGCCATCTACCATAAACTACCGCGACTACAAGCTCACAGCCTGTAGTGCACCCTCAGGAGGAGAGGTCGCCCTCGCCACACTTAAGATTATGGAAGGCTATTCCGAAGTCGGCAACCCAGAAAACATCAACCTAACTACCCACCGCCTTGACGAGAGTATGAGATTCGCCTACGGCATGCGCGCTGAACTAGGCGACCCCCTGTTCCTCGACGGCATAGATGCATATCAAGAGCAAATGCTCTCTGAAGCTACAGCTAAAGAGATCCGCTCCAAGATTTCCGACACAAAGACTTTCGACGTGGCCTACTACGACCCCGCTGGTCTCGAATCCCTTGAAACACCCGGAACTAGTCATATTGTAACTGCAGACAAGAGCGGCATGGCCGTCACACTAACGACAACGGTGAACCTACTCTTTGGAAGCAAGCTTGTCGTCCCAGAAACTGGTGTGATCATGAACAATGAGATGAACGACTTCAGTATCCCGAACACGACAAATGCTTTTGGATACATTCCGTCGCCTGCGAACTTCATTCGCCCCGGAAAACGCCCTCTTTCATCCATCTCCCCTGTAATCGTTGAACATCTAAACTCGTCATCCATCGCGAGCGCTTTCTACGTCGCTATTGGTGCTGCGGGTGGCAGTCGTATCATCACAGCTACCATCCAGAACCTGATCCATATCTTGGATGGAAAGCTGACAACGGCAGAGGCGCTAGCTGAACCGAGAATTCATGATCAGTTGGTGCCTGCCCAAGTGAGCTTTGAGTATGGATTCAACAATGGAACCACGGCTTTCTTGAAGGAGCTGGGAAGTAATGTTACCTGGGTCGCGCCTGGTTCAAGTACAGCACAGGGTTTGAGACGCTTGACAAATGGAACGTTCGAAGCTGCTGGTGAGCCTAGACAGAAGAATAGCGGTGGATTTGCTGTCTAGATAAGTAAGGTGGGAATAACTATAGTGCCATAGCCTCATAGTGCCTGTAGATTGAGTCGTGAATGAGATTTCGACTACTGATAACGTGCACACATGAAACTTGGTTGTGCATAACTTCAGTTTGGATATTTGGTAAATTTTTGAGAATCTTTTGTACAAATGCAACTCGATACGAGCAGCCTAGCGATCTGACGCTACCCAAGCAAATTCAACGTCTCTTACAAGTATCTCCCCTCGTGTCACCGAAATCTTATCAGAAGGAATACAACGCCGGAAATTTTACAGTGTAAACAAAACAAGCAAAGGAAAGGTGCAAGGTGTTTTACCTATGAAATGGCATGGACTGCGCGGGTCTATCCAGGATTGAAGCATGCCCTTCAGAGGGGCATCTGCCTCGATATGGCATAACATCAGGTCATTTCGCATCGATGTGGTTCATGGCGCAGCTGATCAGACATTATTTTGGAGCGCAATATTCGCACATAGCGAAAGGCTCAAGCAATTGGGGATAAACACACTTCATCTGGGCATCACTGTCAGTAAATCAACGAGTACGGGAATCGGAGAGGTGCGTACCAAGATACTATCACAGTCCTAGAAGCGGGTTCGGTGACTAGGCTTCGAAGGCGCAACAGGAGCTGCAGCGACGTCTTCGATCTGCTTTGCACTGTAACGAAAACATAATGTTAGCAAGCACAACAATGTGACAAGAAGTGTGGTGTATTACGTTTTGCTAGTGGTCGTGTGGTGCAGAAAAATGGTAAATACTAAAAGTTCAAGAAGGGGGTATGATGAACACTAGAATGCTGTCATGGGACGACTCGCAACTCGCGTCGCAGCCTTGTGCTGAAGAGACCTAATGCACAACTATTTGCGCTGACGTTTGTTTGCTGCGTTGTGAGGCTGGCTTTTCCGTTTCTTCTGGGGAGGGATTTGGGAGGAGTCGCTCTTAGCAGATGATACATACCCGTTGACATCCTTATCCAGCTGCATGTACTCCTCGGCTGCGCCCTTGCCTCCACGATCCAGAAGATAAGCCATGTAGTAGTGCGAGAGTTCCTTGGAGACGTCTGGTGAGAAGCGTCCTTTAGTGCGCATGAGCTCGTGAACTGCCTTTATCCGAGTATGAGCCTCTTCCTGATCGAGCGAGGGTTGAGCGACTTCAAACTCAAGGTACTTGACCCAGAACTCGCGCGAGTCTGGGAATCGTTCGTGCTTGTCCTTGAACACTTGGCGGGCCTCGTCGACACTGCCCTTGCATTGCCAGAGTATACGCGCCTGCTCGGCAGACAATATGCCACCGATGTGGTTGTTTGCACGGCCAATGTGCTCCTCCAAAAGACGGACCGCAGCGTCGTTGCCTTCGTGGCGTCGCTCTACACCCGCCAGAGCAATGAGGGTCTCGGTGTGCTCGGGGGCCTCGTCCAGCATGGACAAGTAGATATCGCGAGCGACAGAGATACGACCAAGCTTTTCTTCAAAGCGAGCCCAGTTCAGGCGTATCGCAGGGGCCGAGATAGGCACGAATATGCAACTGGCTCGCATGTAGATGATCCTCGCATTCTCCTCTTTGCCCTGCGAGAACATCCAGCGGGCATATCGTAGCCAGAACTCGTCGTAGAGCGCGCAAGCAACAAGACAGCGCTCGTACAGGAAGGAGGTGCGCTCGAAGTCGCCTTGCTTCTCCTCGTACTCCAGATACTTTCGCCAGTTTTCGAGCTCCGCATCTTCAAGCTCTGTGACATGGAAGTAAGCCCTCTTGATGGTTTGTTCAAAGGTCCAACGGTTCGTGACGTCCTGTTGCGTCTTTGTGTATTCGGCGTAGTAGTACTCGTGAATCTTGGTACGCAGTTGTCGCTCCACCTCAAGCACTGGCTTCTCGGGCTGTCCCTGGTTCTCCAGCTCAACGGCGTTCTTCATCGTCTCAAGGGTATCGGGATCGACCAACTCATCGACTGGTCGGTTGTTGAGCAGGACGGAGAACTTTTCGTAGTATCGGGCGAACTGATAGATGGGAAGATGTAGCACGCGGCTGTAGATCTTGGAGACATTGGTTGGCTCTCCGATGCGCTCTTCGAACTCGATATACTTGTCCCAGAATGGGTGGCTCTGGAAGTCGAGACCAACAAAATGGGCACCGCGCTCGAATAAACTGCGAGGTCAGTATTTCGAAAGCAAGCAACGGGGAGGGATAGGAGGGGGTGATGTTGCAAAGTAACCTATCATGCCAACGAGGGGGAAGGCAAGGCCATCGACTTGAGGCTCGTAGCGTACCATATCGCTCTTTCGTGGGGCATAGTACAATGGGGCAATAAGGAGGTGCATCAGACGGTATGCAGCGAGACTGTGTCATATCTGAAAACGCTGCGCCAAGATGCGCACGACTTCCCGCTGGCTACGGCGAGATTGAGCCTCGGAATCGGGGAGGAGGGATGGGGAGGAAAGGCAAGACTTACTCTCGGATAATGTCGTTGTCGTGCGATGTGTCCATCTTGAAGGTGCAGTAGTTGGCCCACAGGTCTACTGAGGGTGTGATGCACGAGACGCCACGCTCGTAGACCATCTCAGCAGTCTCGGTGCCGCCGATAGAGAACTCGAGATCAGCATACTTTTTCCAGTATCCGAAGAACAGTGGGAACTTGGTCAGAAAGCAGTCGTATACGTTGCGCACGAGTTCGATGGCGGACGGGCTGGAATTGCGGGTGACGCCACCCTCGAGGTCAGAGGCACGAGTGACGAGCGCCTCCCATCTTTCGAAGTCATCTTCGTTCTCTACCTGTACGTGGGTCAGCACGAGTTTCGCGATCACGTGGCATAGTACGTACGACTGCGCTGAGGAGCTTGTTGATCTCACCCGCAGCTTCTTCTCCAGTGTAGTGGATCTGGGCAATGCTGCCGCGTCCGGTGGTCAACATTCTGTCGCGCGTCGACTTTGTGGTAGCGGTACGTGTCTCGTGGTCGAAGGAGTGTGGAGTGCGACGGAGGAGGATGGACGGATGGGTGTAGGTGTTGAGAGCTTTGCGACTCGTACCGTGGAAGTTGCGCCCGAGTTCGCGTCGGGAACTTTCGTCAGCGATGCCCTCTAGCGCCTTCCAAGGTCGGTAAGGCTGGCCTAGCACGTGCAACCATCTCTTTAGTCTGCAGCCAACACGTGCAATCACATCTGCAAGTCACTCGAGAGCAAGAGCAAAAAAGAATCGTTTTGTGAATGCAATCGTGATGACGTAAATCTCGCTCTTGTTGATTCAAACTACGATAAAAGCTCGCAGGGGCAAAAAGTCCACCAAGGTATCACTTTCATAGTAGGGCTACATGGTCCCTTTGACTAACACAGCGCATCCATACCACACTCTGACGCAGAAGCGAACCCATGTACGACGGTATCAAACAGCGCTCTCCTCTTTCAAGAAAGGGGCTGTCTCATTTACCGCAAACGAAAACGGACTTTTCCCCACCTCAGGACTTCTCGGACTTATAGGTAGGGCGAAGAGCCCATCGTCCTTGTCGTCCTCGTCAGCAGGTCCAGATGAGCCTCGCGATTGAAAGACAGGCGCAGGGCTAGATAGAGCGTTCAAAGAGCCCATCATACCAGCGCCTTGCTGTTCTGTAATGAACTGCGGAGGGGCTTGTGCAGCGACCTTGCGAGGCGGCGCGGCTGGTTGAGACTGTGGTTGCTGTGGAGGTTTCGCAGCAAGTGCCGATGGATTTGCTCCTTTGAACACGGAAAATGAACTAATAGCGATATCCGATGACTCGGGCGAGAGAGGATTTGAGAAGCCTGGCGCGCTGCTGGTGGGTGTGAGGTCTTTGTCGCTCGTACCTAGTCGCAGGCCAGCCAGCTTGTCCATCAGCCGCCCTCCGCCTGGTGATCGTGGACTAGCTGGGCCCTTCATTGGGGCTAACGTGGCCTCTCCCAGCGAGATGCTGAGACCAGCTGGTTTGGCATTTACACCAAAAGTCGATTCGATCCATTCCTTTTCCTGCACCACCATGAGAAGACCAACGCCTTCGACATTGTTCCGCGATTCGGCTTCGATTTCTTTCTGCAGCACCTGCAACCTCTTCTTGGCCCAAATAGTGTGCAGGACGCCCTTCTTGCCCGCTGCACGCGCGGATGCTCCTAATTCAGGAGGGAACAAGGCGGGCAGAGGATTTGTATGCCAGACCACAGGCGATATACTAGCGTCTTGTGGTCGTAGCGTGAGTGTAACGCTTGTAGGTACTGCGACACCCGGGGGCAGCAGGAAATACATGCGGTTCACGTCGTTGGCAGGCTGGTCGTTGGCGGGCAGAACACGCGTGCTGCCGTCCCACGATATGTGCCAGTCTCCCCGCACTCCCCGCGTTGTGTCGTCGTCCTCCCACTCCACCATTAGGATCTTGGTGCCGGTTGTGGCATTGCCATGGCCCGCCTCATATTCGTAGCGGGCAAGCGCATTAGTGCTCGAGATGCTCGGCGACTCGACCTCATCCTTAGCTGGCTGCCGCGTGGTGGTGTCGACTGAGGTGAAGGGAACCGTGGCTGGAGACGCCATTGGAAAGGTGGAGTTCGGACGTCGAGAGCGCGATGCAGGCGGGACGGTACGTCTATACAAATGGGTGGGGGCGGAATACGAGTCTAGGTGTTAATAACGGCGACGGCAAAATGATAGTCATGTACGGGCCCGTATTCGACGGCGTGAGACGCGATACAGTCGACACAAAGGCTAGATGCACCCACCGCTACCTTGTTCCGACTTGGATGGCGATCTGGAAACGTCGTGCTGGTCGTCTGTTGCTGTACGCGTCGACTTGCAGCTTCGCAGTCCGCCCCATGTTCCTCGCTAAAATTAGAAAGGCATCTCTTCAGCAACGAGCACGAGCGACTGTCGCGCCACAACTACAGTAGACATGCGAATTGCCCTCTTCAACTGTGGCAGCCAATCATCTTCACATATGCACAATTGAGGCGTTGCGACAGTGAGCGATACGCTTGTTTCATCTCCATTCCTTCTCCTCCATCTACGGGCGCTCGCACTAGAACCCCATCCAACTCTACTATACATGTAGGCGCCTGGGTGCTGCGCTAGCTTCCCTTGCACTTTCTGTGCCCCTTTCCACCTCCGACTTACCAGGGCACGCAGACCCCGAGTTCTACCGTGATATCGTCAGCCGTAAAGTCCCTTCCAACGCCATCCAATCCATGCTACTCCGCCCTATGAATGCTACCTTGCTCTCGTTGAGCCAATGGTATCCGAATTACAAAAGTGGGTATCGTGGTGAAGAAAATATATGCAAAGAAATAAGCAAAATGCTTTTCAGGTCATCGCAAGAAGAGGCATGGCGAGCATCATCAGACACTGAGAGAATGTAGTTTGCGAAGAGAGACAACAGACCAGGATGCATACCAGCAGAAGATCCAGGCTTTTTAGATGAGCAAAAAGTCCCAGTTCTTCTGTCGCATCATGTCCCGCCAGTGAACACTCTGTGTGTTGCCCTTCGCAAGGTTGTCGTCGTTGACACGCCACACCTCTTCAAGGAGGTTTTTGACTCTTCCGTAAGAGCCAAAGTTTGCAGCTTCTCCCAAGAGGGCGGAGCGCTCCGCAAACATACTGCGGAAGCCTGATTGCTGCACCGAGATTGAGCCAGCGACCAAAAGTGGCCATACTAGAGATCGGTCGAATCCGTCAGGACCGGCAGGAATATATTCCATAGCCTTACAAAGAGCGCTAACCAGGTTGACGAACGTGGGAGATGTGCGGTCAAAGTCCGGCACCAGGCTGCACAAGTAGATGCGAGCGGCTAAACGGTAGACTGCCGTCATGTTACGGCGAAGCTGCCTTGGAAGAATTTCGCCGGTAGACGTGTAGGCGCTGTTGAGTGATCCCTGAGGGGGCTCAGTCAAACTGATTTGCTCACCAAGGAGCTTGATGTGTGCGCAGAGCTGCACGACATCCATATTCTCGTTCTTTAGCGCCTCGAGACAAGCGATCTCCGAAATCAGATACATGATGCGGTCTTCACAGCCCATGAGTTCGGCAAGGCCAGAAGATGCGTCGGCGATGAGCTTCTCGCGGTAAGTGTCAGCGAAAGAGGGTGTCCTGCCCAACATAGTAGCACCGAGAATGTCGATCCAAGAAGCTAGTGTCATGTTGAATGGAGGCTGAGCATGTGCTTGTCCGTTCATCGCAATCATCTGTGCAGGCAGCTCGAGCCTGTGAACAAGGTTTTGGACTGCTTCGAAATGGCCATGCCATGGAATGTCCATTAGGCCGTCGTTGAAGCGGCCAACTGAACACTGGAAAAAGATCATACCAAGCGCGGCCTCGAGAGTATGGCCATGTTGGCTGTCGCTGTAGAGCGCCGCAGTAAGCTGCTGGACTGTTTCACCGCGATGTCTTTGGATGTCCTGGTCGATTTGCTCTCCTGCAAGGTTCTGGGTGGTCTTCATATGTAACGCGGATATGCTCATGCAGCAGTGCAGGTATGCTTTGTTAGACTCAAGTGCGGGTATGATGACATCGCGTTGTGCCGCTCCGGGCTGGTTTGTCTCGAGGACCGGGAAGGCTGTGGGCATGATGTTCTCAAGAAAATGGCTAAGAAGGTGGCGATCGCAGTCCTCGACCTGAATGGACGGTTGGTGAGATGGGCTGAAAGTACCACAGGTGTTGTAATCGAAGATGGGGAATTCGAGGGGCTCCTCAATGTAGGATTCGCGGCGCTCAAAGTAGTCTTTCTGTATCCAGTCATCAGATGGGTAGATGTTACCAGCAGCTGGTGGGGTTTGGTAGTGACTGTAGGATGATAGTGTGGAATCGCGACGGGTTGGAATGTCGTTGATGAACATTTGGCTTTCGGTCTTGATGTCAATGTCGTAGGGCACGTAGTGTCCTGGATGGGCGAAAGCTGGGGCGAACATTGGGGGAGGCATTGTCGAGTTATAAAAGTCAGGTGTAACAGTAGGATTGAAGTTGTAGTCCAGCGAGTTTTGTGAGTCCACAGAGGGTGCCCGGGTGCAGCTGACGCCGTCCGAGAATGTGTCAGCGGTTTGCATTGAATGACAAAGGCTTGGTGGTGTGTTGGTGCCCATTGCGCCGCTCTGTGCTGTCTTCTCGTTGAGTTTGGTGCGCTTGATGATGTTTTTGATGACTTCTTTTTGCGTCCGCCTTTGTTCATTGTTACTCCACCACATTGGCCTCTTGTATTCGCACTTGAGACCAAGGTGTCTGCAAGCACGGCAAGACGGTTTTCCTTCATCACACTTCTTCCGTCGCAGGCGACATGTGAAGCACCCTGCAAAGCTCCCGTTAGTCGATTGTCCATGCGCGGGATCCCTGTATCCACATCTGAAGGGTGGTCCTTACCTGATCGTGAACGACGGTGCATTTTTGCGGCTTGTTGTTGTTGTTGTTTTGCTGCGTTAGCAGCATTTGTGGTCCCTACCATGGTTGAGGACTGTTTGGTAGCGGATGGGGGAGCGGACGAGGAGGACATGGACGCTTGATGTACCCAGAGCTGTGGTATATGAGGAAAGCCAGTAAACAATGCGGCAAGAACGACTAACGCGCGACGGGACGATTCGTAAGGGACAGGATGGCAGGGCTCGACCGGGCTGCTCGTAATTAAAGATGGGTATTCAAAGCCTGACCAGCGGGCTTGATGTGAAGGAAGGAGCGGAACCAAATTATGCGGTCTACCTGTTGCGTGGAGATGTATTAGTGAGAGACAAGTACCTTATATCTACCACGAACGGCACATTTGTTCACAAATATTGCTGAATCTATTCTTGGAGACCCTGCTATCTGGCCAGGTGGTCGTCCAACGGGAGGGAAATGCGAACGCCATGCAGCATGTCGACACGGCATATTGATTGGACGACTAGTCTCTGGCGTGCAGCCTGATGTCGACATTTGGGGTCATTCTGTGCTCCTGGCTATTTTGGGGCACTCTTACCCGCCGCGCTAGAGCCGACCGCAGTACTTAGCGCGTATCTCTCCACGGCTATCGATCGGCTTACTGGTCCCCGCAACGACTTTAGCAAGTTAAATGACCCATTTAGTACTGGAAGCATATTACCATGTCGACTTGAGAGTTTTCGCTGACTGGGGCCGTGTGCCTTGATCCCCCTCTTGACCCAACCTCCTTGCGGGGCACTATCGAGCTGTATCCAGGAAGGGCCTAGGAAACACATGCAGCGGCTGCGATAAGTGGCCGGCCCGGACGTTGCTGGTGGCCTTGTGCAGATGTGCAGATCCGGACTGCAGTGTGCCAAGTCTGTACGTAGATGATAGCATAGCATCTGCAAGTCTCGTATACGTGGTGTGTCGGTACCTGCCCTCGTGTCGACCCCAAGGAATGTACAGTGACTCGTGATACGGCGAGATGCGGCTGTTGTTGGAATCTATTCGCTTGTGCCACATTGAGCCAGAACGTTCGGGCACTGAGGACGGAGTCACGCAGACTCGAGGCGGCCCAATTCGCGTCCACACTGTCGTGATCATTTCCACAGCGGGACTTGACCAGCTAGTACCTAGGCGAACGAAAACGAAGACCGCATTGTCGACCAAACACGGCAGGTCGGTTGATGGTGTTTTCCCGAGCTATGCGGGAGGGGGCAGGTTGAGTGGGTGAGCCTTCGAGTAACGCGGCGAGTTGGCATAGCACGACAGGCTGTGGCATCCAGTCAGCGTGCACTCCCACGCGAATCAAGTCGCTTGTGCATGTCGATGGGGTTGGAATTTGCACGACAAGCTTTTTCTAGCGAACTCGTGTGTCCAATGACAGCATTCATCGTCCTAGCTTACACTGCGGGGCAAGCCACCGGCTCGGAGAGCTCGGAGGGTGACAGGGAAGGGCCGGTGCTAAACATAGGCCCTTAATTATTCTTCCAACGTTCAGTAAATGCCCATAATTAGTGAGTGTATAGCACGCCTGCAAGACGTGTGAAGCGAGGCCCTTTCGGGATGTGATACCGCTTGCTAAGCACGCGATTGGTTACCGACAATCGCAATCAATACTTGGTAGTCCACGAATGGCCCTCGAGTGACTAGGTACCTCCTCGGACGGCTGCGCTTCGCAGGATGGCTCACCTGACAATGCGGATTCATGCTCATAGCAATGTTCCCGCTACAAGCCGCTATTCTTCCCCGGTATTTGGAAATGATGCTGCCTTGTATGCATCCTGTTGGACGCTCAAGGTGATAGATGAAGCGAGATAGATTGAGACGCCAAATCTGGTTAATGAACACGACTCAACAGCCTCTGCGCTCGTTTCCTGGTCATTACTTTGGGACCGCAGTGAATAGTAAACTAGACAAATCTTCAGCGCCATAAGCAGAACTTTCAGAGCCAGAAGCTCACCAGAGCAGTGTGACTCCTCGTAATGCATGCAAATGTGGACCGGTTGCCGTTCTGCTGGAAATCCACGAACTATGCAGCGTGTAGCATAAGAGACGGAAATTCTGTTCTGCTTGGCGCGGTTTATTCAAGTTGCTGGGGACCATGCTTGCACAAGTTGCGGTCTGGTAGTCCGGTCGTGGGAAGCCGTCTTCGCACGCTGATTCGCCTTGGACAACCACGCTTCAACGAGACCATTGTGATGATGGGACACACAATAGGCAAAAGACGCGGCTGGCCGCAGGACCTTACAGTCACGGGCTCGTGGTGTAGGAGCTTCCTGAGCGACCGTTGGTCGACATGTTGATGAGGGTCCCATGGCGAGCCGTCACGAGAAAGAGCCGTCGGTGGGCTAGATGGTAGTATGCAACGGTCGGAGCAGCGGTCTGCCATGGCATCGCAACGGTAGCAGATAGCCGGTGGGACGCTTGCTGTGGGATGAGTCAAGCTTGTGCCCGCTATCGGGGTTTGTGCCAGCCCGCCAGGTCGCACGACAACGCAAAAGACATCGAGGTAGGTCCGGCGAGCATGAAAGGTTTCGGATCCGCGATTACAGCGATGACGACAAGGTCCGGCGTGCGCGAGTCGTCGGTGGCTTGCAGGGCTGCACGCAGCCGTCGAGCACGGAACGCATCCGCATGTGATATGTTTGTGCCAATATCGCTTGCTGCATATCGCTGATGAGGCTGTCGGCTAGCGACCTCAACCAGCCACAGCCTTGGAACGCTCCGAACCGAAGCTTCACCGACACAGCACAGCAAGGTCGACAAGTCACCAAAGGTCATTTCCAATGTCACTTGACCGTGGCCACGGTGGCGGTGGTGACGCGACTGGATGAAAGAAATCCCGAGGTACGTACTTTGGGGCTGCGCAGGAACAACGAAGCGACCAACAGCAAGCGTGCACGGCATGGCCAACTCAGATCTTCGTCGCATCTGCCCTCGACAAGCGGCGACACGATCCGCTGCCGTCGACCCTGATCATGAGTGGACCCGCGACGACCCTGGCCTTTTCATGCGTCTGGCCTGCGCTGCGAGATATTAATGGCATTTAAGTGTCCTCATCGAGCAGAATTAGCCTGCAAGCCAATCTGCACTCCAGCGAATGGCGGCCCTCTCCTGCCCTCTCAACGCTCGAGTCTAAGCGCCAGCCTAAACCTCGACCAGCATGCGGGCGGGAAAGGCCCGGATTCACATTGGCCGAAGAGCGGTGTCTCTCCAGGACTCGAATGCCTCAGTGGCCGGCTTAAGCAGGCATGCGCTGTCTCGTGCAGCAGCTCCAATGTGATATTGTCGAACCACACACCCCTACCGTCAACGGCGCCCAAGCAACCTCTACAAAAGACTCTCAAGCGCTCTCCACCCGAAGGGTCCCTTTCTCCGTTTTCGATCGTTGTGCTGTTACCGTGTGTATGCCATGCTCGCGACATTCGCTCGGAATAGTTGTTAGCAGTCTTCCGAACAACCATATTCCCTACTACAGAGCGTATACACTGCAAACTCGTGATCATGGTAAGCTACATTCACTTCCCGCTCCATGCGCGATTCTAACATGTCCATCAGCAGGCCATGACACCCATCACCCCGCTGGAGCCGGGCGTGGAAATGTTCGAACGAGGAAAGGCGCAGTCGTTCTTTTCTAGTGCTCTAACGGTCCGGTCATCGCTGGAACGTCCACTTTCGCATATCAGTGTGGCATATACAGATATCGAAGATGATTCTAGCGAATTTGAGGAGTTCAGTGGCTCGTCTGTATGTTCTCCTTGCTCTGACTGCATATACGACACTGACCCCACAAAGAGCGACAACAGGCGAAGTCAAACAACGATATCGACATTCGAGGAAGTACAGACTCCTGGGGAAGAGGTACGGCCACAATTCGCCTATTGGCCGGAGCGAAAGTCAGTAGAAGGTCCTAAAGGGCCACACCTCTTCCGTGCTTCAGTATCATCCAACGACTTTCTATACGACGACGCCCAAGTAATGCAAATGTCGCCTTTACTGCCAAAAGAAACTCCACTCCGTCATCCGACCTCGTTCCGAGAAGCGACTCCCGAAACCATCGTCCCTCAGAGAGAGTACAACAACATCGCTCTGGCAGTTGCCCACTTGGACAATGCCGAAGTGCGTGCCTGGACTTCCAAGGATGTGGCCACCTGGATGTATCAAAATGGGTTTGAAGACGATGTAATTGACAAGTTCATCCAGCACGATATCTCAGGTGCTGTTTTACTAGATTTGCAATTCGACGATCTGAAGGAATTGGAAATTCAGTCCTTCGGCAAGAGGCATCAATTGTGGAACCAAATCGACTCGCTGCGCACCGCGGATGGCCTGATGTCGCCAACTGCTCCAGCAGCCATCCCAACTCCATTCGAGGACATCGAACGGCCGTGCACAGAGGCAAGGAACCGGTCCAAGAGCAAGGGCCGAAAGGCTAGTCGGCGCGACAAGTCGCGAGGGCGTCACTTAACAGACGATGTTATTACTCCTGCACATTCCGTCTCGATCGTAGCAATCGAACAACTACTACCTAAGCCGCACGTATGCGCAAAGGGTGAACGATGCGCCAAATGGAGGAAACAACAAAGGCAGCTTGCCCGACTTCAACAGGAACACGGCTTTCCTATTTCGCCTGAGAAGGGTGGTCATATCTTCATTGCTGGCGACCCAGGCAACCCCCAGACAGCATCTCACGTAGTTGAGAACGTCCACCGCCCGAATTCAGAAGCTACTCCTTCCGTTGTGGTACCGTCCGTGGTAGCATCGTCCGATGTGCTGGGGCCTGGCCAGCTACCTGACTTTACTCTTCAGGACCTACAAAAGTTCGAGCAACGCGACCCGCAAGACAACGTACGACAGTTTCTTACCCTACAGGGTCAGCAGCAGCCCTTCGTCAGCGCTACTCCAATTGAGGCTCCCCCAACTCCACCTACAGAATCATACCCACCTCGGCCCTTCTTGGTGATACCACAGCAACAGCACTACCCGCAGGTTTCAGCGTTTTCTGCATCTACGTCGGCGCATACCACAAAGTCTTTCGATCCTTTTAGCCAGACACCTTCAACTCCAGCTTTGCATCCCCCAGAGTTTATGCCGGCTCCTCACTCGAACCTCAAGAGCCTCCCCAAATTGACGATCCCCCCGGCACGTTCAATGTCTGCCCAGCCTGCTGGTAACCCACGCAGTGGAGTCCCAATACATCAGTACCTCGCACCCGACACTGCTTTCTCGCCATGTAGGACGGCGTCACCGGGCGGGGTCTACCGGTTCGGTACGCCGTTCTCTGAGATGGACGTCCCTGTGACTGCTGTGCAACACGAGCCACTTAGTCGTGACACAAGCCAGTCCGTGCCTCCGAATATGCAATACCAACCCCAAATTCAAAGGGTTGGATCGCGTCATGACCGGCGACGCCCTTCATTGCCCATGCCCGTTCTTGCTGAAGATCGCGTATTCAGCCCAACAGCCCACTCGGACGACGACACCCTGCGGGAGACCATCTTCGACGATTCCATCAGTACTAGTGATAGCGCTAGCTCGTCGCCACTCAAAGCCACTAAGCCGTTCGATAGCGAAGCTGGCGACACTATTGCGCCTTTGCCCAAGGGAGGCTTCGTGTACAAGGGTGTGAATCACCACGGCTGGATGAAGAAGCGACGTACCAAGCTTCTGCGTCACGAATGGCAAGACCACCACTTCCGCCTTCAGGGCACGATGCTAGCTATGCATCCCAACGAGCTGCCGTCTTCCTCCGCGTTGCAGACCATTGATGTGGATGATTATGCCGTAGCATGCTCATCACTCGCTTCGAACAAACTTTCCGCCAAATTCAAGGCTCTGAAACTTTCTTCCGGTCACCACAAGGAGAAGTCTTCCGCTTCCACTCCCGCATTTGAGTTTCAGCTTGTACCTGCTGCACCTGGAAAGGGCGACGTCAAAAAGGTTATGCCGAATGGCAAGGTGCAGCACTTTGCTGTAACCACCAAAGACCAGAGGATCGACTGGATGCGCGAGCTCATGTTGGCAAAGGCCTTGAAGGCTAAGAGCGATGGCTACGAAGTCAACGTCAACGGGGCCAACATGTGATCGCTGCACCAGCGTGCACCTCATCTCTTCCTTATTGTTTTCAGGTATCTTTTTTTGTCTAGCAAGCGAGCGTGTTTTCTGTCCGTTTTTTGATCTTGCGCAATCTCCTCTTCCTTAGTCCGATCATGACCCGCTATTATACCCTTTCCGTTGACGCTTTTTGCTATACGCCGCATGTTACTGTTCATTGTGTCTTCTCCCAATCTTTTGGAGACAGCGTATATTTATTTTCATTACTACATACATCTAAAGACTTGGAACGCTGAGCGGGGCCGCAAGGCATGGAACGTTATTGGCTACTTATGGCTTGAACTTGGTAATGTTTGGGGGTTTGGATCAGTTATTTGCTCGAGCGTGGAAGTCCTACAACAATCACTCATTGAATAGGGTGGGATTATGCTGTTATGCTATTGGTCAAAAGCTGTCGTTACGTTGAGATTGAGCGGGATGGGTGTATGAGTGGGGCGGAATGGTGGACGAAAATATGGTACTATCAATGAATACGATGAACGTCATACAATATACCCCTTCCATGTCCACCGTCTTGGCATATCCACGTACAGTTACCAGTCCACTGTCGCTCTCCGAAACATCTGTGCTTTTCGCGCCGTTCGAAACACTCGGTTTCCGATATGACACTCGGGGGCCGGCCGGCGGTGTGTGTTGTACACTCCCGGCCGACGCAGCCCCATCACGAAACCACGTCGCCCCTAAACACGTCAATCACATATGTTGTCAACATACACACAAAATACTGTTAATTATGCTCTATTATTCTGCTCGCTTATTTCGAGTCATTTCGTTACGAACACACGCCTTAATGCCTAAAGCACACGTCTCGCATCATGCGTTCGCATGATTTTCTGCATGAACGGCCATCACCTGCTTTTCAAACGACACCTCATATGTGATATGCTAAGCGAGAACCGCGATAGTGGTAACTAAGACTATTCGTTCAGAACGTGTCTTGTGAAATGCATTAGATGGTTTTTTTTTTACCAAGGGGGCGGTTTGGGTTGTGAACATGACAAACGTTCAATATTACGATACTCAATGAGTGACAAATTGTTACTGGAGGCATGTAGGATTCGTGATACAATAGCTTGGACACTTTTCAGTCTCTCGAATCTTAGTGTATAGTTATGTGGCTTTATGTAGATACTTCATTCTAGAATTATGGTAAGCAAACATACGCTACATCAACGTGTTGGAAAATGGAAGAGATAATCAATGATCACATCCGAAGCCGTAGACCAACTCAAGCTATTATTTAGAATGCGCTGTAAATCTGAGATAATATCACTCTCGAGTCACCTATCAGCAAATTGAATGTCCATTTGGTGTCGCACAGTCTCCGATTCGCATTCTAGCCTAAACGTTTGACAGTACAAATCCTGTATACTCCACCATCATCGCCCAGTTTCACTCCTGTGGCCCAACATTCTGGTAAAGTTACCTCTGTTTTGAGAGATATGGGCGAACAGGAACACGTGAATGAACTAGGTTACTTGTATAGGACCACTTCTTCCAACAAGATGACGCACATTGCGAAGCAAGGTCGCACTGACAGTTGTCAGGATCGCCTGTGAGTCGTGACATGAATTTGAAGTGACAGACGGGCCATAATGATGGGTTTTAGACGTGGAGACTGATATCGCAATGATAGTACCGTTTATTGGCTATTTGTGAGAGGAGCACGAGTGATGTCAAGCCGGAAATGAAGCGGCAAATGGATAACAGCTGGAATTGAACACACCAGCAATATTTTTTTTTAGATTAGTATGTGAGATTAATCTGAACAATGCTCCCTTATGAGTAGATGATGAAAGAACCATCACCAGCGGTACTCTCGAGGGCACGCGAAGTATGTATCAAAGTAGTAGTACGGGGAAGGCGCACCAAAGCAGGGAGAGCTTTTTTCGTCAGATACAAACATGATTAAATTAATAGAACCAGCGAGGCGAGACACCGGTCACGCTCTGTGTATGTCTCAGTACTGGAGCATGCCTGCAATAGAGACAACATAATATAGAGCCTTCGAGATAACTGTACAAGACTCGTCGCGTAGTAATTGATGACCAAATTGCAAGTGTAAAAATTGCGTATATATGGCTTGCGAATGATCAAGTGTGCGTCGAGTGTTCCGAAGTGAAATAATGAGATGTTCTCATCGGTGTGATGGAAATGGTCGTCGTTGTGATCCGCATAGACGACAGGTAAGGTATCGATGGTTGAGAGGTTTATTCCTCGTCAGCCTCACGCTTGCCACCAATAGGTAGACCATAAGGACGTTTTGGAGGTTTCCACGCAGCCACAGGAGCAGCTTCACGCTTACCACCAATAGGCAGGCCGTAAGGACGCCATGGAGGTGTCCACGCAGCCACAGGAGCAGCTTCACGCTTACCACCAACAGGTAGACCATAAGGACGTTTTGGAGGTTTCCAACCAGCCTCGGCTTCAGCTTCGGGACCAGCCTCACGCTTTCCACCAATAGGTAGACCATAAGGGCGTGTTGGAGGTTCCCAATCAGCCTCAGCCTCAGCTTCACGCTGGCCGATAGTGGCAGGGGCAGCGGCGGCAACAGGTAGTGGCAGAGCGGCACCGGAGACGGTGGCAGCCAGGATGGCAGAGGCGATGATCGCGTTGATTCTCATAGTGTCGAATTATATGTCGGTGATAATGAACGGTAGAGGTCGGGACAGATCGACTATTGACCAAGTGATTGATAGTGGTCCTTCAAGTTGTAGTCGGTGACGAAAGATATTGGTGCAGGAGTAGAGGAGTATTTAAGTACGATAGAAAAAGACACACAAAGGCATCAGTTGATGGTGTTCCACCTCGCCACTGATTCCGAATTGCATGAATAGACCACTCCATTGCTCAATAGGTTTGTGGGGTGAAGGTCAATGGGCATTCGTCTAACAGTGCAGTGGCTACTCAGGTGAATGCGGGTTCCTGAAGGGATCACTCAGAACAGAGTAGGTCAAGGCCGTACCGATATCTTTCAGCGTAAACGAGCTCTTCCAGACCATCAAAGGCTCAATAGTTCACGGTTGACTTGCTCCTAGAAGGCTTTTAGCTTCCTGCGCTGGACGGCACAATGCCTAGAACACAGAGCACATACGTTTTCCTTGGAAACTCAACAAGGGATTGCTTTACTGTTGAAAGAGGGCGTCAGGGTGGAGGTCTGGTGTTGAGGTTACCTCTTTTGGGTCTGAATAGCTTCAATAGAAATTGGAGGCTTGGCGTGGATTGCGTGCGTTCGGCTTCAGAGCGATGATGCGCCACCCGTTTGAACTGAGCGACTTATTTGACTGAGCGATATCGTTTGCAAGATAAGCTAGTAGAGGATTCAAGGCTGAGGTGTTGGCGAATGTCCCAGTGGCTTGCATGAAGACGAGCCACCCATGGAGATATGGGCGAGCAGTATGACGTAAATCAGTACACATGGAGATTGATACTATCTGAGCAATAAAAATGAACAGATTCCGCGTGCATTGATGATTTTGACTCTTTCCGACTATGTGATCTGTAAGGTGGGATTATGTCCGCTTTGTGTTGTAGGACAACACAGCGAGCGATTTTGCGAAAGGTCCAAACGAAACACTTCTTAGAGTGAAAAAGTCAGCCTATGTGCTTCCTCCAATCTTCGGCTTGGGGCAGAGTGAGGCGATGCTGTCGGAAAGGCGACAGCGTTTCTGTTACCCCCATGCATGCGTTTGCGAGCGTCAAACATGATGTGCATCTCCGGAACGAAGCTCATGCATACGTACTCCTTGCTGTATGCCGCGTGGTGGCTTATCGGTTCGAGGTTCTCGGGTCGCAAATTGTGCTTGTTGGGCTGTGGATATGTTAGATCTGCTTGCAAGATGAGTCTTTGTTAGAGAATCGTCAACATTGGGTCGCCTGCATGATGAAGATTAGTGTATGTAGACTGTTTGAGATCTATTATATATCGACTGCCACATCTTGCGACGTCAATGTGAGGGTGATGGAATGGCACGATGTGGTGAGATCTTGCCCATGTACTTGGGCAGCTGGCTGATTAAGCTAGCGCCACACGTGGCTTCGCGCCAACTTTTGGCGCGGGGGATTGTCGCGAATTAACGTGAGACGCCCATGGAAGCATGTATTCTAGAATAGCCAATTCAACGGCGCCTGCTATCAGAAGAGCGTTTTTGAGCTTCTCGAGACGATCACTATGGGCTTCGTCGTCTTGCCATAATGGTAGCGGTTGTGGTCGACGACATATCACCACACAGACTTCCGAAAAGCCCTACTACATCACCACGCCAATATTTTACGTCAATGCTGCCCCTCATGTCGGCCACCTGTATACCATGGTCCTCACGGACGTCATCAAGCGGTGGCATGTGCTCAAAGGAGAGACAGCATTGCTATGTACTGGGACAGATGAACATGGCCTGAAGGTAGCTTTACCTGACAATGTGAAGGTATTGCACTAACACTACAGTAGGTCCAACGAGCAGCCGCCAAGGCTGGCATTGATCCGAAACTTTTTTGTGATAAAGGCGCCGAGATCTTCAGGGTACGCACACACGCATAGCGGATCTACACCATTGTTGCTTACCTACAAAAGGAACTTGCACGGAAAGCCGAGATCACGAACGATCATTTCGTCCGGACGACAGATAGAGAACACAAGGAAGCTGTCGAGTATGCATGGGTACGAGACTCCGGAGCAGCTGATGTAAAACCACGGTAGCTGATGGCAGACAGTTCCTGTTGCAAGAGAAGGGTCTCATATACGAGCAGAAGCATGAAGGGTGGTACTCAGTCACCGACGAATGCTTCTACCCACAGTCAGCTGTACAACTGTACCTCGACCCACCGACAGGAAGGAAGATTATGGTATGCGCTGCCTAGTAAACGGTAGTCGTCTGAGCTGATCAACCTGCAGACATCCATTGAAACGGGCAGCGAAGTAGAATGGTCTTCGGAGATCAACTATCATTTCCGACTCTCGGCATTCCAGGACAAACTGCTGGAGTTCTACAAGAATAATCCCAAGTGGATAGCACCAGAGTATCGCATGAAGGAGGTTGTGCAGGCCGTTGAATCGGGATTGGAGGACTTGTCTATATCTCGACCATATGAACGACTCGCGTGGGGTATCCGAGTCCCTGGAGACGACTCACAAACCATTTATGTATGGCTTGACGCGCTCATGAACTATGCGACCAAGGCAGGATACCCATGGACACCGGGCCGTGAACAAGCTGGAGGCTGGCCCGCAGACTGTCATGTCATTGGTAAAGACATTGTTCGATTCCACTGCATTTACTGGCCGGCCTTCCTCATGGCGCTTGGACTTCCCCTTCCGAAGAAGATCTTGACACACGCTCACTGGACACTTGGGGGGTCTAAGATGTCCAAATCAACTGGAAGGGTTGTCGATCCGTTCAATGCCCTTAATCGATATGGATCGGATGTTATGCGCTTCTACATGGTTCGTGAAGGCGGTATACAGGACGATGCAAACTACGATAATCGTCGCATCATCGGATTGTACAATACGTTCTTGAGCCAGCAGCTTGGCAACCTAGCTTCTCGTGTTACACGAGGCAAGAAATGGAGCGTCCGAGGCGCAGTCAAACGTGTTGGTGGAACGCCAACGGAGGAGTGGGCTGAAGGACCCGGCTCCAGATTCTGGAATAATTCTCTCACCAAAATTGCCTCGCAAGTAGACGCATCTTTTGATGCCTACGATCCGCGCAAAGCTGTGTCTCAAATTGCTGAATTCATTCGAGGAGTAAGTCTGACTTTTTTTCGAATTGCCACTCTACTGACAAAGCTTAGTCAAACTCGTTCTTTCAGATGTCGAAACCCTGGGACAAGGTTCTAGTCTACGGCCCCGGCGAGCCTGGCGAAGATGTCGACAGGATTGTCTTTCTTGCTGCTGAAGCACTTCGCATTACAGGCATCTTAGTACTGCCATACATGCCGAACAAGGCAAGAATGCTACTAGACCAGTTGGGCGTACATCACGATCGGAGGACCTTTGAATACTGCAAGCCTGGCGCTGATCTAGACTATGGAACTCCATTCGTAGAGCTGGGCACAGCACACAATGGCGTGCTGTTCCCGCCACTGCCAAGTGAAGAGTAGGAAATGTATATTAGTGTGATTATCCTAGAGCTGAACAAATGTATATTATTTCGCTTATTAAAGGCGATAGAACTCTCAAATCCGATTTTGCTTTGACATCATAGTCGCTCTGGCTTAACCACCAAAGTTATTGTTGTCTGCAACTATTATCTTCGCAAAGCATAGCCTTCAGAGGAGAGACCAGGTTACAATTTGAGATGAAGGCGACCGAGGCTTGCTGATCACATGTTGCTGAGGCCTAATGCCAAGACTACATCATCGCGCGAACTTTTAGATTTCCGCGCGAACATTTCCCACAGCAGCGCAATCACCAACTTCTCTCTACCTTTCACGCTGTTCGCCACCCCTCTTCGCGCCGGAACTGTCGAAATTCTGCGAATTCACTCACAACGACTGTAAAGATACGATAAAGCATCGCGCGCGTTTCCACACGAGATCAGCCCATCATGGCCGCCCCCAAATCGGGCGGCTTCAAGATGTCACTGGGGGCACTCAAGACAAAGCCAGGGCTTAAATCTTCTCCCGCGCAGAAAGACACAAAAAAAACCAAGCTTCTACTTGGTGACGACGAACCAGACGATTCGAATACGCAACAAGAGATCACAGGATGGGACGCAGCGGAGGGCGGCGCGCTTGATGCCAATGAGAAGAAGGAGAAGGAGGGACCTCGCATTATTCCAGCTCTGCCGAACCGCGATTGGCGCGCAGAGGCACGGCGAAAACACCTTGCGAAAGCGCCACATCAACAATCGCAGACCGAGATTAAGACTGTCGATGAGAGCAAGGTGGAGGAGCCGAAGGTGCAATATGGACTTACAATTATCAAGAAGGATGAATCACAAGAGATCGGAGCTGCGGAGGCTGGAGCGCCAGAGCCTATGGAGATGAAGCAGGACAACCTTACAGAGGAGCAGCGACTTGAGAAGAAAGCTCTCGATGCGCTAATTAGCGGTAGATCCACAGATAATGACCTTGTCATTCCCGTACAGACGGAAGAAGATGCGTTCTTGAATGACGTTCACAATGCGCCTGACGCTCCCACCCTCGAAGCCTATGAAGCTACACCCATTGAAGGATTTGGCGCGGCGCTGCTTCGTGGTATGGGCTGGAAAGATGGAGAAGAAATTGGCAAGAACGGCGTTGCTGCGAAACCGAAAGAAATCAAGCGGCGGCCAGCGCTACTTGGCATAGGCGCAAAGGAGGAGGCTGCTGTAGGCGTTGAGCTTGGTGAATGGAGTGGTGGGAAAAGCAAAGGGAAGAAGGTCACGCAGACCTATAATCCCGTTACGTTGCGGAACAAGCACACTGGCGAGGTTATAACAGAAGAGGAGCTCAAGGCAAAACTCGAGCGACAGAGCATGATCCCAGATGAGAAGGCACCGAGAAGCAAGAGCAGATACCACGATGATAGCGAGGACGATGAGCGAAGGCGTGAGAAGCGGAGAGAGAAACGAGATGACCGCGACCGCGACCGTCGACGAGATGGCGATTATGATAGCGAACGGAGGAAAGATAAGGACCGTCGACGAGATAAGGACGATTACTATGATAGCGATCGCCGCCGAGATAATCGGAAAGATCGAGCCCGGGAGGACGACTACGACAGCGAGCGTAGACGCGAAAAACGAAGAGAACGCAGTCGTAGCCCCGACGACCGAAGAGACAAACGCCGTGATCGATACCGCAGTAGAAGTCGGGACTCGAAACGGAAGAGCGATAGAAAAGATCGTAGTAGGAGTCGTGATTCCGATGATCGCAAGAAACGGAGAAGGGACAAGGAATATGACGATGAGGACAGGTACGAGAAGAAGAGGCATAGGGATAATAAATACTACAAGTAGTTCCCACCGAGCTCAGGAACAGCAATAGAGGGTATGGTTATGCATGTGTCTGGCGTTCTGGACTGGAACCACACCGAAAATGGCATATGCATGAACGAGCTATCATATTACCAACATACAATCCAAGATGTCATACCACAATAACGTATCATCTGTGTTCTCTAGAAGTGACCTGGATATGGACATGTGATGTATACAGCACGTTTGTCTCAGTCGATAGCTGTTGTGAACATATCTCAATATAGTTTTGTTGATAGTAAAGTGAGAACAGTGACGTAGTATTATCATATTTCATTATATGCCGGTTTAGTTGTCATTTACTCGTACACAAGTCCTCCGCCGGGACTCTTCATGCATACGCCATTACAAAACCGTCACTATGCAGTACGATTGAGAACGATAAGAAAAAACGCTAGTGGTATATCTATTTGCCAAAAGCTCAACGCAAAAACAACGTGTACAAAATAGGGTATACAGGGAGAACTTAGAAATTATGCGAAGGAAGGGGGGATGGGTCCACTGCGGGCTTCGGGTATCCATTCGCAGTATGCGATACATAACCATTAGAGTTCCCGTTGGCATAGGTGTTGCCATTTGTGTATCCATTTGTGTAGCCGTTGGTCTGGGGTACGGCCATCTGCGAGTTGCCACGGTAGTATTGCTGACTATCGGCAGCGCCATCGCCCATGTGGTTCCGTTCTGTCTCGCCGCTTTCCTCGAACACTTGCATCTCGGTCTGCTTGGACTGGTGGTGCTTTGAACGTGTGGCGGGTAAGAAATCGATGAAGAAGCTGAACACGTAGAAGCAGTAGATGAAGGATACACACCATTCAAGGACAGCGGCTACGTTCCAAATGCCTTGCTTGGAGCAGACTGCAAAGGCGATGGCGAGGCAAACCTCGGTGATGATGAAAAAGAGCTTAATCCAGAAGGAGATTCTGAGGATGGAATGTTCCCGGTAGTGGATACCCAGACGTTGGTACTCCCAGCAAATGAAGATTGCTGAGACGATGTAACCAATGATGAATACACCAAGGAAGATATTGTGCAGTCTGTTGTGGTTCTTGCAATCGAAGATGGTGAGCAGTATCAGACCGGCCGCACCGACAATGGCGGCAATAGTAGCGCACAGGGAGTAAATTTTCTGCCAGTGAGATGTGTTTGGTGCAAGTTTGTTCGTGTGTCGTAGCCAGCGCTCGAAAATGAAGGCGAGATCAAAAGTGACAACTGTCACGGCTGACATGGCGATGAACATAGCTTTCAGGTAGTCCGCACCAATATCTTCATGTCGTTAGCATGTGTGCTTGATTGTGTGGATCGTGCAACTCACCAGATATGTAAGGAATGTTTTGCCCTGAGCTCATTGTAGAATAGTGAGGTTTGCCGGTCGCCGCCCAATAGACCAACATGGTGATAAGCATGGCGGTCCATACTACTGCGGAGAAGATGGGAACGACCCAATACGAAAGTCCCAACATGGCGAGTGAGTTTCCTTGGGCGTTGCTCTGAGGTATGTGGATGTTGTAACAATGAACCCTCTGGTGTAACTGCTAGGGAGGTTCAATGCGCCTGCGATGGGAAGCTGCGGAATTGGGAAGCACGACACGCGACCAGATGGTAAGGTGATGAAATGAAGCAGACAACAGACGACAGCGCGATCAGCAACAGGGAGCAGGGCTATGATAAAGAGGAGGGACCAAGGCAGAGATGAATAATGGGCAGTCCGTGGCGCGACGAAAGTCTCATACAAACTATGTTGTTGCTAGACGCGACTATGATGTCACGTCTCTAGGACTAAGCCAGCTTGCGTAAGATGCCGTCGGGTCCGATTCGATCGCCCTATTCAACGTCACCGGGCAAGGCGCAGAGTCTTCGATTGCGTCGAATTGAAGATCATGGACGGGTCCGAATACCTTCGGACGAAATTTGATATCGAAGCAATGATGATGTTGGGACAGTGAACCGCTGCGGGTGTGGCTTCTGCAAAGCCGCGATGCGGACCAACGCCGTGTTTGTGCCGCTGACGCCCTGTCTCTCACGCGTCCAGGACCGCCACATGCATCACTGATGGCAGATTTCCAAGCGAAGCGTCGCAAAACTCGACCTCGCTCAAATACAACACAGAGTTTCAACGTCGACGCTATGGTGGAACCCCCATGGACCAGGCTGGTGTCGTAACAAGAAACCTGACATCGACTGGTCCATGTGATCTGTAATGTTCGGCAGTACTGCGCGGCCTGTTTGCGGCTGTCATTCCGTTGCCAGGTGGAGCGCTGCTAAGCATGTGCAACATCCAGGCCCTCAGCGCTTCGGCCTTGAAAAGCCCTATAAGACCATGCCGAACTCCAACATGGCCTGTTGCTGGCGCAAGTGTATACCAGCATGCAATATGGTTTCGAGGCCAGTCAACGGACCCGGGCTTTTATCCAGAGCCTTGGTAGGTGCGCTGCGTAATTGTATCGTGTCTGTCGCGCTCCGGACGTCCAACCTAATCAGCATACTTACTGCTGTTTTTTCGTCCAACAAAAGTATGCTGCCAGTTGTCCCATGGCTGGTAGGGGAATAGCGGTGACTACTTGTCCTGCAGGTACGTGGCGACGGTGATAATGTGCGTGGCCAGGAGGATCCTAGGGCAATCACGATGCGACGCTCAAATGAAGATGGGACTGTTGATCGGAGATTACCCACGGTTTGCTCAACCCGAGATCGACAGGTTCATGTGTCCGCAACAAGAGTTGCAGCAAAAGGAAGGACGACGGTACCGCGCGAACTGTTCATGCATGGACCAGGGAACACCAGCAAACTGGCAATAGCATGGCCAGGCACTGTCGGGGCGCACAGCCACTCTATATATCACGAGACGCGTAAATCGGCACGGCCACAGCAGGCCACTCCGGTCAGGTTTTCCTGGTGTGGATCATGCAAAGTCATGGCACGACTTGTGGATGCTGGACTTCTCACTTTGCCATGGCCTGAGACTTGCAGAGGTCCGATAGCCGTTAGGTTCACCGATACGGCAAAAAGCAGCTGGGATCCAGCCTTCGCGTTGCGCATGCAGCACGACGCCCCGCCTTGATTGGCTTCGGTGCTCGTGCGTTGAGCGATCTTGATTGGCAGATCACTTCAATCCTCGATGTAGCCTGGATTGTCCGGTTTCATGTCGAGCTTCTTCCAAGTTTGTTGTTACTTAGACCAGCTCTGTCTTTGCCTGCAACATGCAGCACTCGTAATTCCAGGCCCAGCATCCTTGACACTTGTAGCCGACTGCACTAGACGCCTGTTCGCGCGGGGACATATTACTTATTCTTCGATATCCCTCCACATGGTCCGCCAGTCCTAGTGTACCACCGGACTACGCTTTCATATCTTCACGCCAGCCTCCGGATAGATAACGTTGCATCCTCCTAGAGCTTTATAAAGGTATGCCGCGGGACTGACATTCTGTCCAGCAGGCACGAACTACCATTAACTCGTTCTTTAGCTATCACAATCCCGATGCATCGTTCCCAATAGTCTTGAGCGCCGTCGCTCTCTAACCCCACTACCACCTGTCAACATGGGGAACCAACCCAGTAGCACGAATCACAACAAGCTTTCCAAACCGAAGACCAACACCAATTCCGCAAGTGGAGCTGTAAAGGTCGACTCACCACAGCCCATAACTTCGCGACCGGCAGACCTCAGCCCTGAAGGGCGCCAGCAAATCAAAGACGCCCTACTTTCACCTACTGCCACCGAATTCGACCCCAACATCTGGATGCACAAGGATGATGGTTTAGGGGAGATTGCGAAGACGCGTGGTCGTGCATCGACAGTCGCTTCGAGATCAAACTCGCGAACCAACTCCAGGACCAATTCACGATCGAATTCATTGTCGTGTTTTGGAAGTAAACAAGGCTCCGCAGCTCAGCTTGCTGGTCTGGCGGATTCAAAGCTGTCTTTGGCTTCTGTGTCACATGTCGATATCGCTGAGGCAATTCGACTTCTACAACAAGTCAAAAAGAATGGTACGCCAGAAGAACTTGCGGCGCTGCAAGAAGTGTTAGAAGCACCTGAAGAGCATGCACTGCCAGTGACTGAGGCACCCGTCAGTCGAAGAACTTCGTTAGTTGACAGGTCTTCTTCTTCGCTCACACGTCGACAATCAATCATCCAGACGCCTGGAGTAGGCACCAGACATTCACCAGTTGAAGGGCGCCGGAGGACGTGGAATTCGTGGAAAGCTCCCAAACTCGATGCCGAAGAAGAGGCAAAATGGCAGTCCAAGCCGAAGGGGAACTCTCACTTGGCCCCTCAGACAGTGCTTCGTTTGTCTGACGAAGCTCGTGAGTCCACTACTGCTCGAGCCGTTACACCTTCGGAGCAGGACTATGCGCATCTGGGAAGCTTGAAGCTAGGAACTCTTGTAGTCACGAATGGCGCAGCATCGCCCGTACCCAGCGCAAGAGCTCTTGAAGGGCAAAAGTCAGTGGACGATGACTACTTCTCAGCAACGGAAGCCAGCTCCAGCCCACTTATTATGAAGTCCACACGTCGACGGGCCCATACAAGGAGCAAGTCAGCTGTTGTCTCAACGCCTTCCCCGCTCTACGAACTGGAAGCAAACGAAATGCCCACTCCTTATGATCCAGAGATTACGGCTAGTGGTGTTTCAGCTGAGTCGGTCTCTTGTCCAAGGGAGCCAAACCCGCTTACCGAAGACGAGTCTCAAAAGTCCCATCGACATTCGCACCAGCGCAAGCAGAGCGCATCTGAAATTGCAGAGAGCTATCAAGCCGACATACCATTAAGCCCTTTCTTCGCATCCGAGGAAACCGCTATGTTCTTCCGGCCAGAAAACAGTGATTCGGCTGATATAATGAGAACTCCTCGCAGTGTCAGGGAGACTGCCGTTGAGGAACCCAAGCCTCAGCCTGAGATCAAAGTTTCGAATCCTTCTGCAACATCAAATGCGCCCACCGCGCCGAAACCAAAGAGCAAGGCTAATCAGAGACCACCACCACGAACGACCGATTCTGGTTACTCATCCGCTGTGAGTCTCAGGAAAATGGGTCAAGAACAGTCGGAGAACGCTACCTCGATCCTATGTCATCGGTGTAGCGATTCTCCTCAAATGTTCGATGCAAGCCAGGAACAAGGAATTCGACGTTCTGTCCTTGCAAAGAAGAGTCACCAGGACGCCGACCTGTCGTCTGCAAACAGTGACTCTGATGGACACTCACCAGCTCGAGCTACACGGCACGCACAGATGGCCCACCATGTACCAGCGCTGAACAGCCCAGTTCCGTCTACTAGTTCTTCTGCCAGGTCTTCGGCGTCGGAGTCTCTGGACTCACCCAACACGCCTAGATCCCTTGGTTCGCGAGCATCGTTCGACAGTGCATCTTCGAAGTCGCAGAAGCGTTTCCATAAGCGGCGCCAGTCACAGCCGGAGCACCCAGTTGTTCAGTCCTGCCAGCCAATTCCAGAAGGGACAATCCCTGAGGTGCCAACCAGGGTGCGTGCCAAGTTTGAACGACGCGTATCGAACACCCCAGGAATCGATTGCTTGACGCACACCTATCCAACAAAGGAACATGTTGTCGCAGACGAGCCTGCTGATCACGGCCCTGATCACGGCCAAACCGAATTCAAGCAGTTGGCTGAGTTGGAGCCAGAGCGACCACCTACGCCCCCTGCTCATGGTCGTCGAAGGAGTCTATCATTCTTCCGGAGAAAGTCTTCATCTGGAAAGAACCAGGTTGAGAAAGAACCTGAGCATGCCGCACTCGACGTGGTTCATCTGGGTACTATCACCACGTCTCTTGGTAATTCCCCGTATGATATTGCCACACCCGACATTCGCAGGGAGAGCGTGAGTTCTCCTACCCACCCGCACCAACTTGGCAATTCTTTGCCCCGAGCAAAGTCTATGGTGAGCATGGACAGCAAGGCTGCGGCGGAGTTTGCGCGCCTCCATAGCAAGGATCTATCCGTCGCTGGACGGAAGCCACCTCCCCAGCAGCGACGAAAAAGCTACCACAGTCTGCACAGGGAATCCGGCGAGGCCACTGCTTCGAAGCTTCGCCCGCAGAGCGTCGATGTGCCACCAGTGCCCTCTATCGACACTACCAGGCTTACCGTTCCGAAACCTGTTAAGCCTCAGGGACCCCGGGCCGCTCCCAGCATGAATTCTCGCAGCCAGAGGATGTCCCAGCCTGTGGGCAAATACGACTCAATCCCGCAGAGGCTTTCCCAGACTCCCGTGAGTTGGGAGACGCACTCGCAGATCTGGAAGCAGCGCCGTAGGACTTTGGGAGAACGTTTGTATTCAGACGTCAACTTGGACATGGGATCAGAATCGGATCTCACAGCCGTCAATGGAACCCCAGTCGAGGCGACTCCTCAAAGAAGCCCCCAGACAACTCCACCAAAACAAGCCAAGGCTCCCAACAACATGTCGAAATGGGATCGGTTCAGTGGGGGATTGGAGTACAACTACGAACGCGGGGCAGGCATCGGAGGCAGCGCAGGTACGCGATCTCTCCACAGCCACGCATCGGTCAAGTCGCTGCACTACCAGCACCAATACGGCGTGGACCTTTCCGATGTCCCAATCATGATTCACTACCAGTCCTGATCTCGCGCATGTAGAAGCAGCTACTCATTGCTGCATTATCTTTGTTACGAATGTTTTCCATTTTCATATATATTCACGCGTACAGAGCGGCATTTCGGTACTGGGATGGGGGGGGGGGGTCATGGAGTTCTTGCTGTTTTGAGTTGATATTGCATGGGCCCGCATTGTATTTACGACTCGACAAATCAAGCAACGAAATAATATAGAAATATCGCATCCGACAGTTGGCCTTGCAGTTGGCGTGCGCCATTTGACATGTGCTCGTGAACTGACCTGGGGTGTTGAGTGAGCAAGTCGGCGCACAAGGCAGGCGAGTCGCATTGGGCATACACGGGATGCGCGGTTTTTTGCGCAAGACAAGCGCTCAGCCTCGCTGCGTGCCATCGAGCCGATCAGGCACCACTGGGCTACATGCACGAGCCTCGGTGATGTCAGACTGAAATGCTAGTGGCTGCAGGTCGAGGACGGCGCAGGGATGTTAAGTAATGTTCGGTCCAAGACTCCAGGACCACAACCGAACTGCGCGAAAATTGTCACTCCAGCTCCCCGCCATCGCCTCCCTTCCTCCTACACTTCACCCATTCCCCATATTCACCGCCTGCCAGACGTCGTCCCCTATAAAGCGACCGTCTGCCCGTTCGCTGCTGCCCAGCCCCTGCATCCGACAGCCTTTGGTCGCGTCAAAGGCTCCCGTCTCACTACGGCTTCGGCCCTGATCCTGCTCAACCTTCAAGTTGTCTCTGCTCGACCAGCGCCACACGTTTTCAACAACATCCCCCCTCCGCGTCTTGTCGCCGTCTAAGAAGGAGCTTGAGCGTCTTTTCTTTCTGTCTCCAACCCAGACACTCGAGCAGCCCGAACTTCAGCTGCCGCATAGGACGCCATCAGCGGTTCTTCCTCTCGCAGAGGAAGCGGCCAGACCTCGCCCAACACCAAGCCTCGGCTTCGCACCCTTCAAGCCACCTTAACGCGGCCTAACGCTCCGGCACAATAACCCACTCAACCACCAGACTGTCAGCACCCATCACCAAGGGCATGGCACCTTCTGCTCTCACGACTACCGAAGAATACCAGTTCCCGTTGAAAGACATACAGTCGTTCAGCACCTATCCCGCTGGTAGTGTTGACAATCATGGCGCCTGGAAATCCAAGCAGCTGATTGCCGACGCTCTCAAGAGCCGTGTCGAGGCTATTGATCCTGATACCTGCAGTGTGGGCGAGGAAGATGCCTTCTTCGTCGCCGACCTGGGCGAGGTCTACCGCCAGCATCTGCGCTGGAAGAAGAATCTAGGCCGTGTCAAGCCGCACTATGGTAAGTCGACCGCACTCCATGTCGTCCTGGGACGCCGCTAACATGTCGCAGCCGTCAAGTGCAACCCTGACCCCCAAGTGCTGCGCCTTATGACTGCGCTCGGCCTCGGCTTCGACTGTGCCTCGAAGAACGAGATTGAGACAGTGCTCAAGTTGGGCGTCGACCCTTCCCGCATCATCTATGCGCAGCCCTGCAAGACCAAGTCTTATGTTCGCTACGCCGCTCAGTCTGGTGTCAAGCAGATGACATTCGACAATGCTGATGAGCTCTACAAGACCAAGCAGCTCTTCCCCGACGCCGAGCTGTACCTGCGCATCCTGACTGATGACTCGGCCAGCTTGTGCCGACTCAGCCAGAAATTCGGCGCTGCTTTGGACACGACTGCAGAGCTCTTGGAGCTAGCCAAGAAGTTGGAGCTCGATGTTGTTGGAGTTGCGTTCCACGTTGGCTCTGGCGCATCGGACCCCAAGGCTTTCATCAAGGCTGTTCAGGACGCTCGGTTTGTCTTCGACCAGGCGTCTGCGCTCGGCTTCAACATGCATACCCTGGATGTGGGCGGCGGCTTTACCGGCGATGTCACCTTCGAGCCCATGGCCGCAGTCTTGTCTACTGCCTTGGATGAGTACTTCCCGCCCCACATCCGCGTCATTGGGGAGCCTGGACGCTACTATGTCTCCACGGCCTTCACCATCGCGTGTCACGTCATCGCTCGTCGCACTGTTACTGATGCTACCCTCGGCACTACTTCATACATGCTGTACCTCAACGACGGTGTCTACGGCAACTTCTCCAGCATCATCTTCGATCACCAGCACCCTGTGCCGCGTGTACTGAAGAACGGCAACGACGTCCTGTACGATGTGCGTCGTTCTGGATACGACACTCCGTCCCAGGTCGAGTACTCCATCTGGGGTCCGACATGCGACGGTATCGACGTCATCTCATCCTCATGCACCTTCCCCGAGTTACTCGATGTCGGTGATTGGCTCTACTTTGAAGAAATGGGCGCATACACCAAGTGCTCTGCTACTCGCTTCAACGGCTTCAGCGACAGCCACGAGGTTGTCTACGTGTGCAGCGAGTCTGGTGCTGCCGCTCTTATGGACATGTAGATGTTCTAGTGGAGTGTTGTTCTTTGCGAACGTATCTGACAGACGTGTAATGGCGGGCTTGCAGAAAGGGGAGAAGGGCGGGAAACGTTTGATTAAAAGTTTGATAGATTCTATAGATGTTGCGTTCTTCATAATCCTAAACAACGTATATTGCGGAATATGGTGCGCTGAGCCTCGATTGGTGTCGTATCTGGCGTGTTTGCTCTTAACCGTGTTTCTTACCTATATGACTGGCGCCTTCTTACTTGCGCAGAGATGGCTGGGATGTCTGGAGAGATGAAACTGCCGAGCAGTGAAAACTCGTGCCTTGCGGATGTTGACAGAGATTTCGGCCCGCTGCACTGCGCGGCCCGCCATGCGTCGATGATCGTGGAGGTCACCAGCCACAGACAGCTTGAGGGGATAGAGGGTTTGATTCGCTGGGACAAGGTGGTAGCGCGTGCCACATCAGGTACTGGATGCTGCTCGTATGCGCCGCCAAGTGTGATCAGGAGTGGCCGCAAATTCGGTCGCCAGCGCGTAAAGTCGACATGCCCAATCACACGGGACAGCGCTCAGAGGCCCAGGGTGATGGGTATAGAGAGACCCGCCGCAGCCCAACTCTTAGAGGGGGCCATGGTCGACAGGCTACGTAAGTCAGCAGTATCGCGTAGGAACAAGCAGGCGACAGGCGTATTTGCCGTGGTCCGTCTTTTTCTCGCATATAAACCTAGGGGTCCGGATTCATGTACCATTGATGCACCCCTCGCCCGGCAGCGTCATATGTATTGAGCCACGAGCCACGAGCCACTACCCCACCCACAGCAGCAGCCATCCACACCCACACCCTGCGCACGTCGAGCTATCCGCACCCGTCGCCAAAAATAAGTTTACGCCTGCCATCGCCGGCGATCAGGTACTGTCGCTGTAAACCCACATAGTCGCGCGTTCCACCACCATGGACGGGCGCAAGCAGGGCCGGCCGGACGAGGAGCTCTTCCTGCGATACGACAACAGCAACAACAACAACCCTGACACGCCCATCATTCCCACGGTTGGTCCTCTGAGGATACAAAAGGGTCGCGATGGCAAGAGCCCGCCCCCGCGAACAGACTCGGCCGGCAGCTCGAGCCAGCCCGCCTTCTCGCGCCCTCCGCCCATGCCCTCGTTCCCCGCGCCGCCTACAAGTCCGCCCAACGCCCCTCTTCCCTACCCCGACACGGATCGGCCGCCAAACGTGCAGCCCACCCTAGGCACAGGCAGATATACGCCGCTCAGCGAGAGGGAGCGCCGTGCGAAGAATGCCACGCCCCCTGAGAGCGCCGATGGGCGAAGGAGAGGTTCCAGTGCGACAGGACCCAGTCCCACGTCGCCCAGCCAGCGTGCTCGCTTCGACGCCAACGACCCCAACCGACCGACGATAAGTGGTTATGGCGCAAGGAATCCAGATGGCTCCATCCAGCCTTCACGCCTGGCAGAGCGGAGAGGAACAGCGCCAAAGCCACTCCCAGACTCGCCAGGCCCAGAGACTCCTGACAAAGAGGGTCTGTTCCAGAAGGCGCCACAGAGAAAGGGCAGTGAAGACGTAGGCGCGAACAACCCATACCCTGAGTACCACCAGCAGTACTTCCCCCCGCCCGCTGCCGGCCCCAGCGCAGCTCCTGCAGCTCCCGCTGTTCCTGTCGTATACACAGGTCCTAACCAGAACGAGCCGGTGCTCAAGGTGCCTACGCCTATGGACGTCAATCGCATGAGCTCCACTGCTTCGACGTCCACTGTAAGGGCACAGAGAGGCTCTCCACCACCCCCCGAGACACCCATTATTCCTCCCTCTGGCGGTGGCATAGAAGCGCGCTTTGCCGCAGCTGGCATTGCAGGAACCTCCACCCTCACCAACCTCCAAGCGCAAAGTGCTCAGAACGCGGCAGCTGCTCAGCGCAACCAGATCTATGCCAACCAGCAGCCCAGACCCGCTCTCTCAACCCCACAGCCGAGCCAGCAACAACCAGTGAGGAGACCATGGACACCCACCGAGCAACCTGGAGGCAATCCACATGGTCCACCGGCGGTATACCAGGGTATGGATCAGGTTCCTCCCTCGAGCACTCCTCCACAGGGTCCTCTTCCACAGGCACCAAACACTCGATTTTCGCCTCCTCCTACAAATGTTCCGCATACAAACGTACCTCCAGAACACCCACTCAATCACGAGATGGGACGTATGAACCTGAATGAAGAGCCACCACCAGCGTACTCAAGTATCACAACCCCGCCAACAGGACAAGCCAACAGCTATCCCAACGAAAAGGGCCAACAACCAGTAGCTCAAGGCGTTAGTTTCTCTGACCCCAACCAAGGTCATCCTGCGTTTGCCAACGATACGCGCCCGCAACCTGGACCCTCACAACCTGCTACCGTGGTCGCACCAACGCCTACGCAAAACCAATTCCCTCCCCAAATACAAACTGCCCAGCCCACCCACACACCAAGTCCGGCTCCTGGTCCAGGACCCGGGCCGGCCTCGCCTCCGCCGCTTCCTGAGGGCTGGATAGCACATCTGGACCCCAGCTCCGGCCAGTATTACTATATTCATTTGCCCACACAATCTACACAGTGGGAGTTTCCCAAAGGCCCGACACCTTTGAACTTGAACGAGCCCATGTCTCCAACAGGTACATTCGTTGGCGGTCCTTTGGCATCTCCGTCCTTTGGCAAGGCCCCCATCGCATCGCCTGGCTTTGCTCCACAAACTGCTACTTTTCCTGGAGACTTTGGCATGGCACCGCTTGCAACTCCAACCACTACCGCCGGCTTCACTGGGCCACCTCCGGTGGCTGGTGTGGATCAATACAAGGTCGCTCCTACAAATGGTGTCTACTTTGGACCCTACCTCAGATACACCAATATGGACATTGAACGGGGTCTGTGGCTAGGTTCAATCCTACTTATCACAAACACGCCCCATCCACCTACAATTCACATTCATCAGAGCACAGATTTGTCCCCTAATCCACGACAACTCAAGGCCAATCCTATCTACACACATCAAACATGGATCTTTTATCGATATGATATCGACCTGAGGATGGAAGAAGAGCATGCAGCGAAATGGACCTATGCCATCACTTCCCACCTGGGCTGCACTCGCTTTGAATTCTTGGTAGCAGGACGACATGAGACAAGCTGGCGATTCATCGCTCATTCTGGCAACGACTTTGCATTGAATGTCAATGCTAACGAGAGAGCGAAGCTCGGCGGTGTAGGTCTGATGTGGAAGGATATCCTACAGAAGAATGCCGAGTGTGGTGGCTTCCATGTACAGCTGGGTCTTGGTGGCCAGATTTACGCCGACCGACTATGGAAAGAACTTCCCCTCTTAAAGCAATGGACGGCGACAAGTGGGAAAGAGATCCGGAAGAATGCGCCGTGGACTGCGAAGCACGAAGAAGATGTTTGCCACGCATATTTCCATTACTACACAAGTCACTTCGATCAGCCACATTTGCGTGAAGCGTTTGCACAGATACCTCACATCCTTGCTCTGGATGACCATGACATGTAAGTGTATTTTTGAGTGTGAATTAGCAAGCAGTTCTAACGATGTCTAGTTTCGATGGCTTTGGATCATATCCTGAGTACATGCAGTTCTCGAACATGTTCAAGAACATCGGAAGATTGGGTATTGAGATGTACCTGCTCTTCCAACACCACACGACGCTGGAGATCCTCCGAAATGTCAACAACGACATGGACCTTTTCACTGTTACAGGTACAGGCTGGCATTTTATTAAGTACCTGGGTCCTTGTGTCACAGTTGTTGGGCCTGATTGTCGTTCTGAACGCAACCCGCATCAAGTCATGGCAGGGCCGACGTATCAAGGTATCTTCCCTAAAGTTGCGACATTGCCGCCGAGTGTTCAGCACTGCATCTGGATGGTTCCTGTTCCTATTGTGTATCCTCGCCTGGAGTCTGTGGAACATCTCGCTCACTCAATGGCCACTGGTAAGAAAGCCGTCACTGGCACTTTCAACATGCTTGGAAAGGTGACGGCTGGTGTCGCTGGTGTCGTTGGCGCTAAGAGTGTCGTTGGCGATGGCTTCAATTCTGTCAAGAAAGCTATTGGCAAGTCCGGTCTGATGAGTGGAGTCTTGAGTCCTTTCGGAGAAATTGATCTGCTTGACGAGCTAAGAGATCAGTGGACGCACGATTCAAAGGTTGGTAGCTCCTAACTACTGTGATCCAATTTACTAACATGTCGTAGGACCTTGAGCGAACGTACTTGATCCGGACACTCCAAGGCATCGCCCACAACAAGTCGTTACGGATGACGTTCTTTTCTGGTGCGGTCGACTGTTGTGGTGCTGGTCTTGTTCACGACCCGTCGAGACCTCAAGACCACAAGACAATGTACCAAATCATCTCATCATCAGTGGTCAACGGTCCGCCTGGAAACTATGTATTGCGACTACTCCATAACAACCGTGCCCTCTACGTACCCCAGAACGGACATCGCAGCAACAATCAACCGAGCGACACCAAGGAAGACATGATGGAAATCTTCACTCAAGATGTCAACGGTCAGCCAAGAGAGTACAAGAGACTAATGGGAAGAAGGAACTACGTTGCATGCGTCATTTATGATCCAGAGATCGTTAATGGGACGTTTGGTCAGGCGGTCCCTGGGCACGGTAGTGGTAAGTTGAGCCTGGCAGTCGACTTTATGGTGCAAAACGATGGTGGATATAGTGCGCCCATGAAGTACGGACCAGTCATCGTGCCCAGCTTGGAATATGGTAGATAGACGGATGGTTGATTTTCTGTTTTCTTCTTATTCAGCGATAGGATGCATAGCAAGCGTTGTATATGCTTTCAGGGTGGAATGTTGGGCGAACTCTTTCAATATGATATCAAGCAATGATGAACAGCTTTTCTATGCATTCACCAACGGCACATGACCAAGCTCCTCTAATGATAATCTCAACAGAAATCTCGTAAGCTCGAACCTTTGTAGAGTCTTGGAGGGGTGGAATGGTTTTCCCAATTCGGCAATGACATCTGCAAGGCTTGGCTATGGCTATCCGCGGCCTTTGAATTCTCGACAGCGAGACGGGACCGAAACCACAACATCCACAACATGGCAGCTCCTGCAAGACAAGCGACAGCGATACCACGATTCCTTCTACCGCAGATATCATGGCCCGCCAGGGTGTCACGGCCAGCAGCGTTGGCTGCACTGGAGCAGGGTCGGCATAGGTCCTGTATAGCTTCCGAGAGTCGCGCTGCCTTTCCGAAGTCATTACCACTCCAAGCACGAACACGACGTACACTGTGGCCAAAGACATCACCACAATATGCAAGCGGTCATGCATTGGCTCTGGAGTTTCGGCGCAACTTCAGCGCAACTGCACAGCATTCCAAGGATCATCACTTCGATACGCTCAAGTTTGTGCAGCGATTGAAGGAGGAAGGGTTCACAGAAGAGCAAGCCGAGGGCATGATGAGGGTTCTCGGCGATGTAATCGAGGAGAGGCAAGTCACTGCACGACTTTTCATAAATGGCCAACTGACTTGTACAGCATCCAAAACCTCACACGCACCATGGTCCTTCGTGAAGACCAAGAGAAAGCCACCTACACGCAGAAAGTCGACTTTGCCAAACTCCGCTCCGAACTCATGACGGCCGACTCGACTGAATCCAGCCTCACGCGTGCATCGCATGAGCGTCTTACAAATGAGCTCGCAAAGCTGAATTCGCGCTTGCGGGACGAGATACAACGGACACAGGCATCAGTGAGGCTAGACTTGAACCTGGAGAAGGGGCGCATTAGAGAAGAGGCAAACGTGCAGGAACTGAAGCTCAAGGAGACGGAGACAAGGATCGAGCAGGAGACGGCGCAGCTGAGGGAGAGGCTAGAGGCCGTCAAATTCTCAACGCTACAGTGGCTGATGGGAGTCTGCACTGGTACTGCGGCGTTGATGTTGGGTGTGTGGCGGTTGTTAATGTGAAGCACGATGCAATGGCAGTTATGAAACAGCTTCAAAGAGCTACAAAGCTCCAGTGCACAGCTATGGCCCTGCGCCGCGCCATAAATGTGCTACAGTACCCGTCAATGCAGTTGACGGGTGCAACGGACGAAGGGCCCCATGGCAGCCGTGCACGATGAGGTGATGCCGAGATGAAAACGGTTGGTTTTAGATAAGACGTTGTGGCGTGCATATGCAGCAGGCGGGAACAACGCTGCCCGTGTGAACAGTTAGATACAAACGACTGCCTTGGTATTCAGGCAAATTCACAACATGCGCGCCGATATTGAGTAGCGTGCAGCTGCTGTGTGGATACATGTGCATCAGCCACATGTGACACGGAGAGCTAGCGGCTCTGGTCTATGGGATTTGGCCGTGGTACTTGACCGCAACGTGACACGAATCATGGCGCAGAGAGGTCGCAACGCAACAGCTTCCGTCCAGGTTTTCTAGCTGTTTCCAAGGTGCACTGATTGGCCCCCACTTGGACATGGGACGGCAGTCTAGGAGCCAGCCTCTTGCTGGCGGCCGCGCTTCAGAGCTCGACTGGTGTGACGGGTGGAAGTAGACGTTGAAGGCAAACTGGAGTAAGATGAGTGCAGGACGACGCAATGGCACAAGCCGCGAATCAAGTCAAGACTTTGGGGAGCGAGTGAGGTAGCTGAAGGGGGTGGCCGGTGAAAGGGCAGACCCTGGAGCTGCTCACGTGCCCGTGTACCCCTCATCGCCAGCTCCCTCCCCCGAACATGGCATGGAGGGCTGACATTGGGGCGCAACTGTAGGGGCGATAGAGCGACAGTTGATAGTGGTGAGGAGCATGAAGGGTGTCAAGGAAGCTGTGCCAGCGTGTAAACGGGGCAAGACATCATGTGAAGGGCAGCCCAGGCGCCAATTGGGGGAAGGCGCAGTCGACGGGGTGGTGTTGTTCGCTCTGCGCACGGCCCCCCGGTCTGTCTTAGGGCAGACGCTCGCTTCCTCAAAACAACTTCGATCCTCTTCTGTTCGTTGATCCACACAAACACCTCAACAAGTCCGCCCACCGTCTATCCTTCCATACGCATCTGCACCCACCCCCACAGTCTCCCGACTACCCAAACACACATCAACTCAACCATCACAATGGCGACTGAGGTACGTGGTGCTGATTCTGCCCCATTTCCCCCGCTGTTGTCCCCCGGCGGGATGCCCCTCTGAGCCCCGATAAACTACAAGCCAGCGACATGGACTAACGCCAGACAGCGTGAGAGGTACGAGACAGCTGTTGCATCCAGCGCCCGCCCGTAATTGACGTCGCAATAGCAAGACTTTCCTCGCCCGGCTGTGCGAACAGGCTGAGCGTTACGATGGTAAGTCTCCGCGCGCTCCCAGCTACGGCCGCGCAAGCTAACCGCAGTCTGCAGAGATGGTCACATACATGAAGGTCAGTTGTTCTGCCATCGCTGCTCATTTGTACTCATATGCTGATATTCTCGCAGGAAGTCGCCAAGGTATGCCCGACCGCATCCGCTCCCACACGGGCAGGCGCTCGCCACAGCGGGCTCTCCGCTGACGCAGACTAACACACGAGACAGGTCGCCGGTGAGCTCACCGTTGACGAGCGCAACCTTCTGTCCGTCGCCTACAAGAACGTTGTCGGTACCCGACGCGCGTCGTGGCGCATCATTTCCTCGATCGAGCAGAAGGAGGAGTCCAAGGGCTCTGAGAAGCATGTCGGCACCATCCGCGACTACCGCCAGAAGATCGAGACCGAGCTTGAGCAGGTCTGCCAGGACGTCCTCAACGTCCTCGACGACTCCCTCATCCCCAAGGCCGAGTCTGGCGAGTCCAAGGTCTTCTACCACAAGATGTGCGTCCACACCGCTACATCTGCGGCAAACAAGGCTAACACCGGCACAGGAAGGGAGACTACCACCGCTACCTTGCCGAATTTGCTTCCGGTGAGAAGCGCAAGGTTGCTGCGACTGCTGCACACGAGGCCTACAAGGTATGACGCAATCAATACAGAGTGCAATAACAGCCACCTAACCCCACCACACAGACGGCCACCGACGTTGCCCAGACTGAGCTCACACCTACCCACCCCATCCGTCTCGGCCTTGCGCTGAACTTCTCGGTCTTCTACTACGAGATCTTGAACTCGCCCGACCGTGCTTGCCACCTTGCCAAGCAGGCTTTCGACGACGCCATTGCTGAGCTTGACTCTCTCTCCGAGGAGTCCTACCGCGACAGCACCCTCATCATGCAGCTCCTCCGTGACAACCTCACTCTCTGGACGTCATCAGACGGCAACGAGGGCGAGGCCGCCGGTGCCACTGACGCACCCAAGGAGGAGGCCAAGACCACCGAGGATGCACCGGCTGCATCTGAGCCCAAGGCCGACGAGCAGCCACCTGCTGCCGCCCCTGCTCCTGCCGCTTAAGCACACTCTCTCTATCTCGACCTTGTGTATCCTAAGCCATCGTCATCTGTTCTCGAATAGGCGAAGACGGCCGGCAGCGAGTGTCCTACGGAGTTGTACGTGTTCTGTGTGATTTCAAAAATTGGCTTTGGCAGCAAGCGGTTCGGTACGGTCGAATTCCCCATGACTGAATGTATTTCCCTTTACTCTCCTATCGCCGGCGCTGTCCCATCGAGCACGCAGTGTGCTGAGGTCGCGTTTCCCACACGACCACAGTACTCCTGAGCTCTCCTTCGTGAGAGTCTCGGGCTGCTACCGGCAAGATACGGCTGCGTTTGGTACGTCGGATGCTACCCTCAATTCCCCCATGTTTTCGTTTTGGCAGCACATAAACACCTCGATCCTATACCGGCAGAGATGTTTGACATCCTCTTGGTGATTCTAGGAGTCAGGACATCCGTTTCGATGGCCGGTAGAGCAGTACGAAAGGCTCAGTGGGCTTAATGTCATCATACTGCACTCTTAGCTAGCCAAAGGAATCGCTACTTCAATATCTCGCTCCTATGCCGTGACTCTTGAACCTTGACGTACGTTGACTTCTGACTCACTGCAAAGAGCATATATGTTGTCGATCTTAGGACTTTGGTCGGTCCTTTTTCCATGTGCCAGACCCTGTGGAATGGGCAGCCGCTGCCCCACCATTTGGAGCCGAATAGCCCTTCCCGCCCAGCTTTTTTGTCCCCAATGTCGCGTCGCGTATGGCAAAAAATCCGAACAAGCCCTCCAAGGGCGAGCGTCGCACATAATTCAGTATAGCAGTTTCTATTCAATTGAATCCCTACCTCCATCCCATCAGAGCAACCTACAGCTGTCGCGCAAAGACAAAAGCCATGGCATACTTCAAAGATTACTACCACATACTGCAACTGCCTGCGCCAGTTTGGTCCTCATCGAAACAGCAAACATCGCCAGCGGAATTACGTCGAGCGTACAAAGTCGCGTTGCTAGCAGCGCACCCAGATAAGGCGAGCGCCGTATCCGCGACGGCAAGGACGAAGCCCGCATACACAGTCGATGACGTGAAAGAAGCCTACACGACCCTCGCAAACGAAACAACGAAGACGGAATACGAGAACTGGTTCTTGCATCATCGGGATAGCCTCGCGTCGTCGAAGACTATGGATCCACATGCGCACGCGAATACACAACCGTCAAGCGATTTCATACTTGGGCTCGAGTTGCTTGATCTTGGGGATTTTGAGGTCTGGGAACCAGAGGGTGGGGATATATCTGCAGACACGAATAGTCCGGAACAAACGACATGGACAAGAGCTTGTCGGTGTGGTGCGGAAAAGGGTTTTAGTATAGTCGAAGAAGAGCTAGAGGATGCGGAGGCAAGGGGTGAGAAAGAGGTACTTGTGGGGTGTTCAGGATGCAGTCTGTGGGTCAGGGTTGCGTTTGATGTCGAGGTAGGTTGAGGAATGGGGGAAGACATGTGGACGCAGCATCTCATCAAAGACAGCCAGTGACACAGACTTACTGAGCCTGGCTTATCAACTGATGGCCAGAGTGCAGAACCATATGATGTAGGATCGCTCCGCTTTTACTCACTCACTCACCTACCTGCTCTTTGGTGCAAGAGGATCTGGAACAAGCCATGTCACTCGACACGCCCAGACAGGTGTTTCCATAGCTTGCGAAGGTTCCTTGTTCGAGCTTTCGAGCAAGTTTTCGAGATGCGTAGCAAGTAGTCCGTGATACGTATCCGCCCAATATCTGGACCTAATGGGGAACTGAATGGGAATAAAGGTCTCGAGATGTCGTCAGATCGTTGAAGCAAATACATCGTTTTCATGGTTTAGAATTTAACGATGAGGCGCAAGAGGAGAACGAAAAGGGTATCGGTGTAATTCGGCCATCCTTTATCTTATCTTCATAATAGGCAGTTAGAAGGGGTGCGGAAACCCCGGACATCGAGGCGAATATTCATAGATTAGGCAAAGACAAAGTTATAAAAAGACTAGACCAACAATCGACATATCCGCCCAAGCCACTTGGTATCAAACATGCACAGATATCCGCCAACGCCAGTAGGACCAAGGGCACCGCAGCCATCTAAGATGATGTCTTGATCACATCTTAGGCTGTGCCGCCAGCTTAGCTAGCAGATCATCCACTTGCTTCTGCAACTCAGCTTTCTCTGCCTCGAGCTGTGTTTTCTTCTTCGGCTTTTCTTTGGGTACGTGCACGTTTTCTCCGATCAAGTCGCCCTTGTTGTCAAGCTCCATGCCCTTCTTCTTGAGCATCTCCTCAACCAAGGGTACCAATTCTGTGAAGTTTTTGACACATGGGACACCGTATCTCTCACATGTGAGGTGGACGTTTCCTGATTTCCAGTATGCATCGCCGCAGCAAACGACAACCTTATCGGACGCAGCCCAGACACCTAGCTCAAGCAGGGACACTGGGCTCTTGGTCTCGGTATCGAAGAAGAAACAGATGACATCTGCTTGTTCTAGCGCACCTAGCTCCCATACAACTTGTTGTTTGAAGAGTTCGTCCTTGGCTTGCTGCTTAATGCTTTGATCCCAGGAACCTTTTCGAGGATTGCACACAGTGATAGGCAAGTGATTAAGCATGGTTGCCATCAAGGGTTGCCAGTTGACTGCATCACCCATCTCTATGCTGCCAGCTGTAAACACAGTAAATTTGCGGTATTCAGGTGGTTCCGGAGGATTAGAGTGCACAAAATCTTTGTGTGGTGTTGGTACTGGTGATGGCCAAGGCGGAAGTTGATTCTTTTTGTCTTCAACCACCTTATCAATAGTCGTCATACCGGGAGATTTGATCATATCAGCAGCAGGCTCCTTTGTTGCTTCTTCGGGCATGTTCGCCTTGGTAGGTTCGCTACCGGTTTTCTCGTCCTTGCCTACGAACTTCTCGACGATCTTAGACCAGGTTGTATGGCTCCTCATGAGGTGACCGGTCAGCTGCTGTAGTCGATCTTTAGCAATAGAAACCTCGGACTTTGTCGGAAGAGTAGCTGCTCGAGCCAGGGTGGTGTAGGAAAAAGGCTGATGAAGAGAGTGGAAGCTGCGAATAGATGTCAGTTGGGTGCCTTGGTTGTTTGATGGTCGTTTGGTGGGGCTAGTCATACTTGACCAATGACATAACTGGACCCCTTGACTGCTTATGTCTTGGGTCTTTGAGCAATCGTGGAACGATGCAAACGGACACAGACAACGTGGGAAACGTCTTAGATGAGCGTTTGTTAGTCGAAACTGTAATAGAATTGATAGGGCGAATACTTCACAATGCGCTTAGGTTTGCGCATCTTATTTGCGACTTCTTTGCTGCCTGCAACTTGAATGCTAAGCGCCTGGCTGCCTGGCTGCTACGGAGACCCACGAGGCACAGCCTCAGGGCGCATGATAGTTCGCCGGCAGTTAAAACTCCACATAACGCACGCGCTTATACTCCTACACCGACTCTATTGTTCAGGATTTTGCTGGTACACTAGACTGGTCTACATAAGGCGAAGTGTGGCTGGTACCTTTCCCGCTCCCTTTGTGTCCTGGCGCTTGTAGCGAGGCTGTCTGTGAGGCTGTCATCGAAGGCAGTACTTGGGTCGCTCACAGTCATCGTTTCGATCATAGAATCGCGTGGTACTCTATGAGGTAAGTGATATGGTGATTTCAACACTGATATTCGAGGTCTCGGAGATGTCCGAAGGAGCTATCATGATGGATTACGGCGGCTAAGGTTAGAGCTGAAGCACACGTGAGCGCGGAGGAGCTGAACAATACGAGTCACACCAACCATCATCACTCACACCTACAAAGAGTCAATTTGACTTCAGAACCGTCATCTGCCATGTTATGACAACGAATTTCGGGTTACGAACGACCACATATCGTGGCGATGTTGTCACAGGCACAACACCAGCACCGATCAAAAGACTGAGAATTGGCCTGAACATTGCCTTTCTCATGGTAATCTGACCAAGTACGATTCACAGGCTCAGAAAACCCGATGAACTGTCAGGTCACATCTGCCTACAAATCCAAACGACGTATGACCAACGTCCGCTTATGTGAATCTTTCAAGTAAGAGATGGACGTGCTAATCCTGCTGCGCCTGAGCAATTCATCCAAGACCCCTGAAGAAAACACTCAAAGTACGGAGATGGAGCATGGACGGCCTTACGAGATCCCAGACCTTGGCGGCCTCAAATTCGGCTCAATACATGCGAATCCCAGACGCTACCTTGCAACCCCATCCTTCCTTTGACCGAATCCATAATCCTAGGATTACAGCAAAACACTACTACTGCTTGATTCTATGTCGTCTTACTCCACAGGGTTGCTCCTGAGGGGATTCGGGTGGCGCCCTCCCTTCAAAGTCAAGGTCGGCGTACCATGTCCTCTCGCCCTATCTTCCGGTGTACTGCCAAACCCAGCCACATTGGGCGCAACCACTTGCTTTGCACACTGAACCTCGCGAAAGTCTTTCGGCGGGTCCACGATCTGGAAACAGAGAGAAGAAGCTTCAGTAGTCATGCCGCAGGTACACTTGATACCGGTAAACTTGACAGAAACAGATTCGGCCTGCTCTCCATATTCTTTCTTCATCTCGCGAGAGAGAGATCCGAAGCTGAGGAGACTGGTGACGGATCTGGAAGAGGCGATCGATACATCAGAAGGCTCCCTCTCTGCATGATCGTTAAGGTTGTTCATCGACCGACTAGGGCGGAGGCGCTCCAGAGGGTGTGCACCACCGCGTATCGCTAGTCGCCTAGGAATTGCAGCCACACGTAGCAGTGCCGACTTGTAAACTGTCGTCTTTTTTACCTTCTCCTGGGCTTTCTCTGCGCGCCAGGATAAACCACAGCCTTCGCAGAATACACCGAACCGTATAGCTTTACTGTCATCCTCGGACAACGGGATTAACTCCGGCTCGCTCATCGGTACGAATTGCTTGACCAGGCCTTCTAGCTTGCACTTCGAACAAGACCGATGTGTGCATTCGCAGCTCAAGACGCTGACTGGATGTTGGCCTTGAGCGAAGCTGTGAATCTCGTGACCGCGGTGACACTTGCAACAGCGCCACTTGCTGTCGGATTTTGGTACCTCGTTCTCATCGTCAGAGAAAGCCATGGTATTTGGGACTGTTCCTTTGTCACTACTGGAGTAGGCGGAAGTGAAAGACTGGTTGTTAAGCGCGGATGTAGCAGGCCCATTGTGGCGATCTCGGACAGTCTTCTCCATCGTAGCCAGTGAGTCTCCGGTATATTTAGGTGTGAAGCTTGTGGGCGGAGTGGTATCGGTCTGCTGTATCTTGCTCTCTTGTAGTCGACGCTCTGCTTGAGCTCGTGCGCGTGCGACACTACCAGGGAGTTTCCTCGTCAGCCCTAATCCTGCATATTTATAGCTTCCTCCAGTCATGTCGATTGAATACCTTAGGCCCTCATGCCGAGCTCTCTGAGCAGATTCTCCAGATTCTGCCAACTGACTTATCTTATCGCCATCCGGGTTACTGATTGAGATGTTTGGTAGGCTCATCACCATGTGCTGTTGGTCTTTAGATTTTGCGAGGGAGTCCACTCGCTCCGGACGCGAGACTTCTGAGTGTTCGCCTGATTGATGACCATCAAACATTGTACCCGCGGAGATGACTGCGAAAGGCTTGCGCGGTATTGACAGTAAAGCGTTCACCAGTGCAAAAGATGGACTTGCGGCAAAGCTGAGCGAAACAACAGGTCAAGCTCGCAGTAATAGTTTGACCTGAAGCAAGTTTCAGTGAACAATAAGTTAATGGCAGTAGAGCTAAAAATGAGGTGAACGTGGGTTGCGTGTGGGAATACAGCGTTTGCGTCTTCACTGTGGAGCCAGAAGATTCGACAAAGTGAACGACATCTAAACAATCACCGCTAACACGCGCACATGGTCCAACATGGAAACCAAGATGCAGGTGATGGCTGCAGCTGAGAGATAAGCGTGAAAGTGCGAGGATGTGCAGCCTTTACTTCCTCATTCAGTCGCCGTTGACTATGATGAAACAACGTCTAGATGACACAAAAACCACTTGCTGCAGTATCGATAGATATGGGATGAATTAAGAACATCGCAACTTGATTCTACTCATTGTCGGATGCCATCCCCAGCCATATTGTCTATCAAAACAATTTTGTCATCCAACGTAGCTCTCCAACGTCCCATTCGTAGGCCACTTCCTCGACATTTGCAATCCTTGTCTTTATGAACACTAGCATTTAGCAACGATGCCATCTGGATCTCGCATTCACTGTTCATGCGATTCATGGTGGCATATGCAGCAGCAGACGACAACAGGCCTGTATTCCTTATGAAGAAGGCAGAAATGTCTCAATGTAACCTCGATGACAGTTACCAGTAGCGTGGCATCGCGGCAATCATGACGGTGCTTGTGTGGAAAGGTGACCAAATTGCTAGAGTGGGTTATTTTTTGTTCATGATTTCTTGAGCAAATGTAGAAAGAGTTAGTATTGGATCGACTGAAGCGTATGAGGAGGCGTATAGAATGGTGCTGATACCTACAGATGAATCAGATAACGACACTTATATATACACTGGTGGTATGGTTGTCAAGTTGATATTAAAGGCGGAGTATTCGTATGCTTTGTCGTTAAACTGACGATGAAAACTAGAACACCTCCGTGAACGGAAAAGCTGTTGACCAATGTATATTCGTCCTGTTGGAACCTCTTTACAGAAAGCCGCATAGGAAAGAAGCATATGGAAGACAAGTGTTGTTGCATCCGCAGTCTGTCTGTCTACTTAAGCTTAACTTGCAGCACACCTTTCCAAGCTTGCAGAGCACTGTCAACGTACTCGGCGGCGTAGAAGTCGACATCGTCGTCACTTAACACTTCTTTCAAAATCCCGCCCGTCTTGCCCCACCGTATCTGCGCCTTGATTGCAGCTTGGCCTTTCGTCTCGATAAGCTTGATATAGCTCTGCGCGACATCGCGTATCGCCTCGAAGCAGATCTTTGTCTTGCTCTCTATGTCATTGACCCAGTCTTTCGTCAACTTGGCCTTCATGTTATGAGTCTTTGAGTTGACGACTTTCTCGCGTATGTGCTCGACCAGCTTGATGAGCGCACGAAGGACTTCGAACTTGGTGTAGCAAGAGATGAGCATGTTCTCGTGGAACATAGTAGGCTCGTCTTCGAGTTTCAAGTTGGTAGCGCCGGGCATACATAGTTTTTCCATTGCGATTCGCATCGCATGTATTTCTTCCGGTAGTACTTTTATTATGGAAGAGAGCGGCTCTGGGGACGCAAGTCGGGGGGAATCTTCCAACAGCATCATCTCAACGATAGAGTTGATATAGTCCCAGATTCCGTGAGCTGTAGATTCCGCAGGTGTCATGTTGTGTTTAGTTTCTTTGATATGACTCTGAGGTGTGGCAGCCGAGCGTATCCATGCACCCTGAAGTTCCCGCGTTTGTGTCTCTCTATAGAGGAGTCTACTGCTCGCATCCCAGGTATCAAGGCTTTCACATAGCCAGTTGATATTAGGGATCGTATTGGGCATGATGTATGGAAGTGGGCCAGGAGAACAAGAGTGCTCGTAGTTAGGGAATACTGACCTATCCACGTTGTCGGATATGTGTCGATAGCCTACGTGGATTAGCCGGCGATCAAGTACAACTTGAAAGGCACTTACTACCCGGGTCAACAACCGGCAAATTATCAATTGGCTCGCCCTTTAATCGTGATATGCGGCGGCGCTCGACGTTGCATATGTGCTTTGTCAAGCTCGATTTGAATTTCCGCTTCATACCCAGAAGTTCCATAGCTTGGTCCCAAGGAAGCGATTGCAAATCAGCATATAAAGTATCATCAATCTTACGTTCCATTCTCTCCATAGTGCCAACAGCTTTGTCAAGTTCTTCTTCCGCCGAGAATCCTTGATAACCTTTAGCACCAAATGGATGTGTCAGTGAGATCCGGGACAGAACATAGGGCGACAATGTATGCACCAGCATTTCCTTGCACTTGGTATGGCTGTACAATTGGAAGGCACATTTCCCGAGGCCGAGGTTCAGGTGCATTCGTGCAGCAAGTAGTGCTAGTGGCCTGTCCTGCTTCTCTTTATCGCAAGCCACCAGATGACGTGCGAGCATCGTAGCTTGAAGGAGGAGTCGCGAATTTGGCGTTGTTCCGAAAGGATGAGCATCTTCTTTGTTATGCATAGCGTTACGATGCATCTGGAGGAGGATGTAGATTCCGACGATACCTTCTGAAGACTTGGGAGAGCGTAACCAGGGGGCTGTCAATGCGATAGACAAAGGCACTTCCATATAATCCTGCCATTTCAAACTCGGCTTTGTCGTCAGTGATATCCACAGGAGATAGGATAGCTTCAGGCGGTTTCCGTGATAGGTAACCGCGTCTTGGTACGGATACTTCTTTTCCTCCGACAACCTGAATATTTCCTTCCATTCCGCGTCCACAAAATTTGAAAACGCGTGACGGTCTTCTCTACTCAATGCTTCCACAAACGGACGGATGTCCGCATAACATGTGATGAGATTCGCATGGGCTTTCCAGTAAGCCTCACAGTCGGCTAACATCATAGTCCCTGGGACGACAGTCTGACGAAGTTTCATGTACGCCAATCTTAGGCTACGGTCCTGGGGTTGGAATTCATCCGGCTTGAAAGTGCGGCGTATGACATCGGAGATAAGGCGAATGCTATCGTCCTTGACACGTGTTGCTCGCGCGGCTTGTAGCAAACTTGTCCAAACATCTTGCCTCCAGGCGCAAGTTTCTCGAAGGCTAGTCATGTTAGCGGCTGTCTTGAGGAATGCCAGAGATCCGTAGCTGCCGTTGTGAACTGTAACATCTCCTCTACACTAACTTACCTTTCTTGGTGCGATATCACACGCTCAATATACGCAAGACACTGACTTTCAAGCAGAGACCACTCTCCACTGTTTTTTGGAAGCCTGATTCTCATATCCCACAAATCACCCTGGTGCCTGGTCATCAGGTCCTGGAGGGCTGCAGGCGGCTGATCCCAGTACTCCAACAGCTCATTGCATTTGCCTTGCCGCGCGAAAATCTCACCCATGAAGCGTAGATCGCGTATATCTTTGAATGCGATCGGGTCATCAGGAGCCGCCTCGTATGCTTGCTTCATGAGTCTACGAGCCAGGTCAGATTGTAGCTTACTTTTCACCTCGCCTGATGGAAGTCCGCGCTGCTGTTCGGCAGCGAGTTGAATAGCAAGTATTTGCGTGAAATGAGCATGCTTCTTCGCTGACACTGATCCAGTGCTATCCTTAGTCTCCTTGCTGTAGTGAAAGACAGCCTGTCGTGTGTTAGCAGGTGGCATCAAAGATAAGTCCAATAGTATCATGTAATTCTCCGCTGTAAGAAGAAGGCACTAGGAGAAGTATGTCTCCTGATGGCCCCGAGTCACTCGTATGAGGGGCCAGTTTCGACTTCTTACATACCAGGCGGAAGTCTTCCCAGCATTCCTCAGCCAATGATACTTTGCCCAAGGCAGACCAGAGTTCTTGACGATCTTCTTTACGGCCCAACGATTTCGCAGCACGTTGCCAAACTTTGAGGTTGCCGTCGCCCACTCCGCTGATGTTAAGGTTGTTACCCTGGTCTCTCCGCGTTACCTCCGCTAGGATTTGGTATAGGTAGGAAAGCAGTCGAACATCATCTACTCCTGGCTGTTCCCAGGCCTGTTGGACTAGATTTACAACATCGTTGTGTCCATGGTTGAGTGTGAGACCTAGACGAGCTTTCCATGCCTGCTCAGAATTTAGCGTGGCAACGTAATATCAAGCTCAGAATAGCTTACCAGGAGAAATGGGTTTTTGGGTGTCTTCTTGAGCGACTTTTGCACGAAGGAATCTGCGAACTTCGGTTTGGGGTAATCGCGCTGAGCCTTGCACAATTTCTCCCAGCTGTTGCACGCCATGAGAACAGGTACTTGAGCGCGATTAGGTATCGCAGAAACAAGGGAGATAAACCAGACACTAGCGATGCTCGAACAATGGCAAATATGTGGTGATTGGCTGGGGAATTATATGTCGCTGGCGGGGACGTGTAGAGACTGAAAATGATGTTGGGGGCGTTCGGGCGGAAGTCGGAGGAAAGCCCCGACTGCAAATTCACTACACGCAGCAAATGAGGCAGCCTCTCACTTGCCAGTTGCCTGAACAATTGATACTTCTTCATATCCTGACTGTGTTTATGGAACCATCCTCCGCCACCACAGTGATGTGAATTATAGCGAATACTCTCTGAGTAGTTTCTGCGTACTGCAACTTACGAAATATATGCTCCTCATTGAGCACGTACGGATGATGTCAAAGTTCATTCAAAGTGGCGGAACCTTGGACATGTCTGCGATAGAGAAGCTCGTTGTTTTTAAGTTGCATCCTCAAGACAAACTCTGCTACCATTTAAATATGTTTTAGACGTATCATACTACGTATGCCTCTAGCCTTAGCTTTTACCTAGATAACTTCCAGGATACAACTCAGACACCACGAGCTGCAACATCATGACGATAAAATAGCATACGAACATAACAGCTCAGATTGGCGTAATTCGACTGTGAAATCTGGTTATGCACAGTTGGGGACTTTCAAATTCAGGTATAACATACACCTCATCGATGGATTACTATACTAGATACTTGATCGCGAAAGAATGCTTCCAAGTTCGATCATATCGAGAAGACCAAACGCAGCATTTATGGCTAAAGCATCTGACCCTATGAAAGTACTAAGCCCGCTGCAATATCATCTCGGAAGTTCAGTCGCGAGATGACCAGACTAAGAACGGTATGCGACAGTGATATGCACAAATACATGCTGCCTCGAAATTAAGACAGCCTAGTCAACCTCCATATCCATGTCTCCGTCTTTATCCGCCTTTGCAGACCTAGCAACACCACGCTTCGCTTCATACCTTTGTTTGAATTTAGCTTTCGATGGTATGGGACGTGCACCTAAGGCGCCCATGGGCGAGCCATCGCTCCCAAAGATCCTGTTCCTACCGTCGTCGCCACGCTTAGAGTTAGCCGCCTTCCTACGTTCCCGACCCTTCTTGCGCTCTGCCGCCAAATGCTTCGCGATAGCAGCCTGCTTGATGAGGTCCCCAGTGTCTTCCTTGACGGTAGTATAGGTCTTACGGAAATCCTCATATGCTGGATCTTGGATACTGTCGAGAAAACCTGTAAGCTGTACTTCCGTCCAATGCTTAGCCTCTTGTGCAAGGACAGCCGCGACGACAACTTGCCGCAACGCACCATCCTCGTCTTCGCAGATGCGCTCCGCGCTCCCGGTCGGGGCGAAGATAGCCTTGATGGCCTCCTTGAGAACTTCGGGATTGGAAGAACGGAAGACCAATAGTTCGACGAGCTTCGCGTGCGCAGCTGATCTCAGAGTATTGTAGTCCAATTCTTCTGCCAGGGCGTAGATGTGGAGATGGTATGCATATTCGGCAATACCAACGAGGGCAACTGTGGCAGGTGAGGGCGGAATCTCGTTCGGGATGAGAGTTGCATGATAGAATTTGAAGGTGGTCTGCTTGAGTTGGCCGCCTTCTGAGCCTGGAATGAACCTATAGTCTGATGTGTAGACTATGCTATGGATCAGTATGTTTTTCAGATTCACCAACGTACGCGACACTTACTGAAGTTGACAATGCGGTCTACAAGGATAGGATGAAAGTGAGCCGGCAAATGCACACAACTTGGTCGGTTAGGGCTCATCGCCTGGTCATGTCAGCCTTCAATTTACGACGCCTGAGGTCCCAGTAGCAGCTCATCAACCCAAGGATATGATCCTAACTAGGTTGGAGGCGAACAAAAAGAAGGTAATCTTACACCACCTGGAAATAGCCCCTCCTGCAACGCCTTCGAGCCGCCAATCAACATGATGGAATGTACCTGAAACTCCACACCAGCAACAGTGATCAGAGTAAAGTCGCGACCAATTGGCGTATCAAGCAACAACTCAGCGTGCCTGAATATTATCGTTAGTTACTGCAAGCACCTTCCTGGAGTGAGGTGTTGTTTACTCGGTATGTAAGTTTTGCGCTGTGGGTAGAGGATCCCAGCCCTTCTTGAAAACCTTACGCAAAAGATTGGAAGCATTACGCGGATCAACCGGTGGCTGTCGGAGAGAGGCAGTATCGCGCTGCAGCTGTGGCGGCTTGACCTGGGACGTCGGAGTGGCCATGGGTGTGGGTAAAGATAGTAGGCTATCCATTAGGAATGCTGACTGAGGAACGATCGCTTCAAACAAACCAAAACTTTGACATGGTGCGAAAGGCAACAGAGGCAGGAAACGGGGTGGAGAAACTTGTGACCTGCTCGTTTGTTTGCAGGTCTCGTGTGCGATATCGTCTTTCTCTTTTTCAGAGTAGGACGCGAATTGTGGGGATTTCAGGGAGGCAAATGCAAACGCATGTAGGAACTCGACCGATCCGCAGAGAGCTGTTGTATTATAAACCCGTGTTACTCGTACAATCGTATTCCCTAGAGACCCAGCTCTTAGAATGTTGGCCTCGTCCTCTCACCCTTCCACAATCCCATGACCTCTCCTGTCTCTCCGACCCACTCCCTGACGCCAGTGACAACAGCCTTCGCCATGCCCGCATTTGTTCCACTTCTTGCCCTCCTCTTGCCCTCCATCCCACTGCTCACTCCGCCAACTCCGATACCCGTCCCGCTGCCAAACGACTCTGGTGCTTTTCCTGGCATGATGTAGCTGCTACCGTCTCCAGTCGCGTACTCGGAGCCCATTGAGGGAAGAACGTTCTCGCCAGCGGACAAGGAGACGAACAAGGCAAATGGAACTAGCCAGACGCATAGGCCAAAGTAAGATGCGATCTCGGTGAAGGTGGGAATGTTGACGTCGCGGGAGTATGAGTACGAAGAGTATGTGTTTGCTGGCGGAGCGCTGAAGTGACGAAACCAAAGATAGTGGTTTGCGATGACGAGGGCTAGAAAGATGCTTAGTACAGACATGGAATGGACTCAGAATGAGGTACAACATACCGCAAGAGACCAAGAACAGTGGGTCCGTGAGCTTGACAATGGGGAATCGCCTGAGGTTCTGCGCATAAATGACATGCGACACAACGCTCAACGCGCTGAGTCCGACTGGAAACCGATCGACGACTAGAAGCAAGATTTGGATGCCGACCACGCCATAGATGAGTCGGTATAGTAGCTTCTTTGCGAATACGGTATGCTCTTCCACAAGCTCAGAGAGGTAGTACAGGCCGGAAGCTACGTTGCGTCAGCTCCGTGAACCAAAGACGATGTGCATGGCTGCAAAGTACCTATGGCAAGCGTCAAGAAGGCGAAGCCCAAAATGACACCCACATATCCAAGCAACGGCAGTATCCACATGTTGACTCGTGACACTTCAGGGAAATGTGAAGAAGGATGGAGTCTGGAAGTTTGGCGGGCGCACGATGAGGTCAGTCCAAAGGTGGCATCAAGGCTAGCGGAGAAACCCGTGGACCCGCCGCAAAGTGTGGGGTGTAACACCAAAAAGTCGTCGAACTCTTGGCCAGAGTGAATCGACCAACCGACACATCACGCTCGCTTCCCGCTGTTCCCTTGCAGCCCCCAGTCGCACAAAGTCAAAGCGAACCAAAGAGTACTGCGCTTGTTTCAGAGAGAGTCACAGCCCACAACCGCAACCATGTCGCGCCCCGAAGACATCCTGTACGCACGCCTCTTCGCAATATCGCAAGTCGCATAGCGAGGAATTCAGCGCTTACGTTTCTGCAGACCCCCCGATCTCTTCTACAATGACTCGGAATCGCGAAAATACACAACCTCTTCGCGTATCCAGAAGATTCAATCCACAATGACCCATCGCGCCCTCTCCCTCCTCGCACTTTCCTCGCCCTCCATGATTCTCGACATTGGCTGCGGCTCCGGTCTTAGTGGCGAGATCCTGTCACAAACCGCAGAACAAGGCACACCCGGCGGCCCACACGTATGGATTGGCTTTGACATTAGCGCATCCATGCTGGGCGTTGCGTTGGAGAAAGAGGTAGAAGGAGATTTGCTGCTAGCCGACGCAGGCCAAGGTGTACCGTTCAGACCAGGAACCTTCGACGCTGCCATCAGTATCAGTGCAGTCCAATGGCTGTGTAACGCTGAAAGTAGCGAGGAGAGTCCTGCGGGCAGATTATCGAGGTTCTTCAACCAGCTCTATGCGAGTCTGAAGAGAGGAGGGAGGGCTGTCTGTCAGTTCTACCCAAAGAACGATGCACAGAAGAAGATGGTGGCGCAGGCAGCTATCAAGGCCGGTTTCGGTGCGGGTCTTCTTGAGGATGACATGGGAACCAAGAGTGCAAAGACATATCTTGTCCTAACTGTGGGCGGAGGAGCGCTCGATGGCGACATCACAGGTGTTGTGAGGGGCATGGAAGGCGTTGACGTTGAGGATGCACGAAGAAAGGCAAAGGGCATGAAGAGAGGTGAAGAACGAAAGGGCAGCAAAGCATACATCATGAAGAAGAAGGAGCAGATGGAGAGGCAAGGCAAGGTTGTCAAGGCGTCGTCCAAGTACACTGGCAGAAAGAGGAGGATCCAATTCTAGATATACCCACGACACCATCATCACGATGTTACGCATAGCACGGAGTTCTGGTTCTGGCATTTTCAGGAGGGTATAAGAATGGTCAATTCAATCATGCAGCATGCTATATACCACCTACAAGTACAGCTCTATTCACATGCCAGCTGGTAGTTGTACAAGTGCCATTGCGTCCAGTCGTTAAGAAAATGTGTTATTGCTCCCTATCATAGGTTAACCCAATGTGAGCCGAGGCCTAGATTTGACGGTATCATCGCGCTATATCAAAGCTTAGCAAACACGAAGACCATGATGGTTAAATCATGCCTTCTCCATCTGGTTCAGAACAGCGCGGGTGAACTCGTGGGTGGTGGTGTTGCCTCCCATGTCGCGTGTGCGGGCGGTGCTAGAGAATGTTAGTCATGGATTACTTTCTGACTTGACAAAAAACTCACCCGTCAGCGATGACCTTGTAGACGGACTGCGAGATGCGGTTGGCGTGGTCATCGAGACCAATGTGACGGAGCATCATGGCAGCGGACAGGATCAGAGCGGTGGGGTTGGCCTGGTCCTTGCCCTTGATGTCGAGACCGACGTGACGGCATCCAGGCTCGAAAACGGCGACGTTGCGGCCCATGTTGCAACCGGGGACGATACCAGGGCCACCGACAAGACCGGCACCGATGTTGGACAGGATACCTCCGTACAAGTTGGGCATGACCATGACGTCGAATTGCTGTGGCCTCGAGACACACTGCATGGAGGCGTTGTCGACGATCATGTCGTTGGTCTCAAGAGTGGGGTAGTCCTCACCAACACGCTTGACAGTGTTGCGGAACAGACCATCGGCAAGCTTCATGATGTTGGCCTTGTGGATGCAGGTAACCTTCTTGCGGTTGTTGGCGAGCGCAAAGGCGAAGGCAAACTTGGCGATGCGCTCCGACTTCTCACGGGTGATGATCTTGAGCGACTCAACGACGCCGTTGACCGACTGGTGCTCGAGACCGGAGTATTCACCCTCGGTGTTCTCACGGATAATGCAGAAGTCGATGTCCTTGTGGCGCGTCTCGTAGCCGGGGATGTTCTTGAGGAGGACGATGGAGGCGTAGATGTCGAGCTCTTGACGCAGAGCAACGTTGAAAGAACGGTGGCCGGAGCGCTCGACGGGAGTGTGGAGGATACCCTTGAGACCGAGCTTGTTGCGCTTGAGCGAAGCAATCGACTCGCGGAGGAGCTCCTCGGAGTGGACGTTGCCCGAGTCGACACCAGACACGTCGACCTGCTCCCACTCAATGGGGACGTTGTCCGCCTTGAAGATCTCCTTGACCGACTCGGAGACCTCAGCACCGATACCGTCACCTGCGCATGTTCAGAAAGTAGATGGGGTTTATGGGCGGCTATCGCGCGTACCAGGAATCAACGTGACAGTGTATTTGCCGCCGAACTTGGTGGGCTTGAAGATGTCCTGGGTGACCGTGGCCATTGCTGTCGCCGCGTTAGACTCTGCACTGCTCCGAATGCTTCAGGGCGTCTTCGTACATCGAGTAGCCATTGGGCATGCCCATCGAGCGGCAGGCTTCGCGCCCCGCAGGAGCGTCTGTATGGGCGCATTAGCACTCGAATTTCCGCCATGACCGCCAATTGCAAGCGCATCGACATGTCCGTACCTGCGCTGTTCGTTGAGAGGTCCTCGACAACATGGTGTAGTTGCGGCGTTGGGCTGGTGGTGAGGGATTTGAGGTAGAGAGAAACCAGCTCGAGCTGCCGTCCCCCGAAAATGCATCCGAACCGAAGGAAGAAACCGCGCTTGGCAAATGACCGCATCCGTCCTTCCGCCGCGGCTCGCTCTGTCTGTTGCCTCCGGCGCAGCCCTGTTCGTGCCTTTCACTCTCTATGCTACTTGCTTTTTCTTATTTTTCTTCATGTCCTAGTCGGCATGTACTCCGATTTCCTGCAACTACCCAGCCCTTTGTGCGCAATCCACCACGGCCTCATTTGCATGTGATCGTACCAACCATGGTTCGCGTAGTGCATGCGTGTTTCATCCGTGCCAGGTTTCAGGTGACAGAGAATGCCAGACGTCGAAAGAGCAGGAAGAGACAATCATATGGAATGACGGCGACTACCGTGGTCTTCAGCTATTGAATGTGTGCTGCTCCACGGAGCCACATCTTTGTTCGAACAACCGAGGAGCATTCTCCAGCACGATATAAGGACGATTACGGCATACATCGGTTTTCATGTATAGCTGAGCTTCAGATACCTCTCAGGTGGCTCTCACTTGAGCCTTGGTAGACATGGTGATCGCGATGCCAGCGACACTCCTTCAGCACGCGTCACGCACGAGGCTGGCCTTACTTTCACCTCACTGCTCGTCTGTCTTCGCTTGCCACTAGCATATAAGATGGTCTTTCAACCCTTCAATCATTTCTCCTAGCTACCACTTCCACTCCTCTTTTGTTTGGCCATGCACTGGACTCCCTTGTGGCATTCGTACTACGAATAGCCATCCAGCCGATACATGAACATAACTCGCGATTTGTAGCTCGCCAGCCAGAGACAAAGCGTTCTAGCTACCAAGGTTCCCTTGCTTCCAGCGCCACAAGCACTGTGCTTCAGAAGCCCTATCAGCCCTCAACAACCTACTTGCTAGCTTGTATAGTTCCGTCTAGCCATCGGGTAATCCTACTAAATTCATCATTTCATCATCGCTTACCATTGTCATCCAGCTGTAATCAAAAACATATCGATCATCTCGAGTTCACACCCCGCAGTAAAGCTCTGATAATGAAAGTCGTTGAGAAAAATACCGACAGAACAGCTGAGGTCAACGTCTTCGTCGAAGGGCAAGTTCCGGCATTGAAAGAGTACGGTGAGTATATCGATTCAAGGGACAAAGCGATATGTTGCTACGTGGCTCTGTATGAGGGCGATAAGCCTCGCATCAGAGGCCAATTCTCTGGCACGGTAAGTCGTACTCTTATAGGCTCAACAGGCTTCTCTGATCAATTCTCAGACTCTGGCCGTGGCCTGGGATACTATCGTGGACGGAGTACTTCGTAAGGCAAACTCGTACGCAGCCAGAGCTGTGAGCTTTCAGAATAAGAGGAAGATGGACACAGTAAAGTTTCTCTACAAGACTACGAAAGGGATCATCGATACCGACATCACCGTGGTACCACTTCCAGGTTTCGCTACGACACAAAACAATGACCCCGAGACCATCGGAACTTTGGAACTGCGTGTATACATCACCCGACAGCTAGGAACTTGGCACGATATAGGTGAAGTTAAAAAGTACTTCACAGTCGGAGGTAGCATCGGAGATAAGCAAACAGGTAGTATGGAACAGAAGGCGAGTTACAAGGACATCCCTCCGACTTTCGGGATGTCGTTCGAGACAAACGCTGCTCTTCTAGAGGATAGGCAGCCAAGTCTTCAACAGCGCAAGGTGGACGCGAAACGTCCAGGCACAGAGCCCTGGGCCATATTTCGTTTCCATTATCGAAGTCAAGGTGAGTTTTTCAGGCATCTTTCTCGAATATTGTGCTTACACGGTTGTTCAGAAGACATTTTAAAGCGAGAAATGAAGATGACTCATGACCCGAACAGCAAAGAGAAGCCCAAACCGCATACTCTATTCCTAAATCCCGTACCCCCTCTGCTATTGGGCGAAAAGTCATGTAAGAACGACGGGGATGCCTCGTCCCGATCATCATCACTATCTCCAATGCCTCCTAGCAAACCTTCTACTCCAGCAAGAAGCGCAAAGCCGGGCCTCAAAGTAACAGTCAAGAAGGCGCTCGACAGTCTCGAGATTGATAGGGACACCCCTAATATCTCTGCTGGCAGTGGTGATGATAAGCTTGTTGACAAGGTTGCTGTTACGCCTGCTGAGCTGATAACCAACTGTATCGCGAAGCTGTCCAATCTTCCAGGTCTCGAGACCAGCCCCGCACTTTTACATCCAGAAATACCCGCGGTCGCAGCGGAAGAAACACTTGGGAAGTCTCCACCGTCGCCCATCACGCAAGGAAAGAAGCCGGTTGAGAGACCAGGGCCAATCTGTGGTATCACGAGTATGCGAAAGAAGCCAGATACCCCGCTCGTCGCAGCTATACCGACCAAGCGTCAGATATCCACCACAAATAGCGCGACGTCCGAGCCAAAGCGCACCAAGGCCGTCCTGACGCCTCCTGCACCCTTCATCGAGCCTATAGTTCCAAGTACCCCTCGGCGCTCACCTACCCCAAAGCCCATATCAATCGAGCGACAGCTTGCGGATCAGCGCAAGAAGCTCGAAGAACTGCGCAAGAAGCGTAGCGATACCGCTCACAAACAAGCTGTGATCGACAAAGAGATGATTCCCTACAAGCAGCGTATGGTCGAGGAGCTGGATCGTCTCCATCAAATGATGACAGAAGAGGAGAAAGCTTATGCTGAGGAGACTGAACACTACAGTGCTAGTATAGGGATTCTGCAAGCGTTCAAGAAGACAGAAGGTAGCAACTAGGTTGCTGGTTGAGTGCAAGTTCGACAAAAGTGCGTCGGAAGGAGTATGGCGTTGAGGTAAAAAAAAAAAATGAGGCCTGGAGTGATTCGGAGTTTTTGAGGACTTCAGAGGAGTTGGCCAAAGCCCGGCTGGCAACTACCAACAGCATTGGATTCTTGAATGGATCGACAAATGCTTAGTGAGGCGACTACCGATGCCGCGAAGGGAAAAAAGTGCTTATGATTATTTAATATCATGTCATCAGTAGCCAACACAAGGTACTGATGAGCATAGTTTGGATTGAAGGACCATGCAGTTATGCGACAGCTAATTTGATTTATTGTCCTGGCGTCCGCTCTCTTGCTACCCTCATGTTCGCCTTGATCCTCTCGAGCAGTTCAGCTGTCGTTGCGAGTGGAGAGGGGTGTAGATTCCTCTGCCATAGTGTTAGCTCAAAACTGCATGATCGAAGTCATCCATATTTTGAAAAATGCCACAGCAGTTTGACAGCAGCCAGAATTAGGGTGGATCTTGTCGGATGTGTCAGCCATGAGAGAACTTACGTGCTTGAGCCAAGTAACGCATTGGTCATGTGTCCATGTCTCTGGGTCTGAAACGATATTAACAAAGTCAAGAATGGAGTCATTCGACAATCTAAAGGGCGTGGGTTTGCGTACCTCCAGTAGGGTCTTGACTGGGAAAGATGTCTTGTCCCCAAATACTCCATGCTGCAACACCAGCAACTACTGCAGCAAAAGCAAAGAACGGGCCCTGTGTTGTCTTAGTATAGGATGAAAGCGACATTCAGAAGGCCCACTATGTATAGCAGATGCCAGGATAGCCATGAGTAACCTACACGTTGTTGCACCGCGCGATCGATAGGAGTCGGCATGCTGAAAGATGGGAGTGGAAGTCGTGGCTAGGAGAATAGGGGAGATTTAAGAGTTCTGAGCGCAGCTGTGGAGCTCAAATGAGATATTTGTCTGAATTTCGCAGGATTTATAGGATGTAAGTGTAGGCAGTGCTGTCTCACATGCAACGCATCTACATTCCAAGGTTGCCTCGCTCGTTTACGCCACACACGTCGTCACCCCACCAAGCCCGAAGCAGCAACGCTTGCGGCCAGCCCCTTTGTAGCCCGTGCTTTTCAAGCGAGGTCTCCCCGGGCCCAGAGTCCACAACAATATTGCGTTCCCGAACTTCACGATCGATTCCGAATTCCAACGACCCGTCAACACACAAATCGTCAAGATGCCTTCCGAAGTTTCCGACATCAAGCAGTTCATCGAGATCTGCAGGCGCAAGGATGCCAGCTGTATGTCTACCAATTTTTTTGGGGGGGAGGTTGCGGTCGCAGTAGGAAGAGGAATTGTGCACAAGAAGCGGGAGATGCAGAAAGCTGCGACGATCGAGGCAGAGAACGTGATGAGAGACCTGGACTGACAGTATTGCAGCCGCCCGCATAAAGAAGAACAAGAAGGTCAACAACATCAAGTTCAAGGTCCGATGCTCCACCAACGTCTATACCCTCGTCCTTAAGGACACCGACAAGGCCGAGAAGCTCAAGCAGAGTCTGCCCCCTGGTACGCACAAACAACCAATAACACATGGCTAGCGACGTGAGTCTAATATTTGCAGGTCTTACCATCACCGACGTCGGCAAGAAGAACCCCAAGGGCAAGCGCACCGCATAAACGGATCGAACGCATAAGGAACTGAGGACGGAAGTGTGCAAGGACATCAACGCATGATGCGCACGAAGCACGAAGGCATGGCGGGCGGCGTCTCAATGGATAAATTTTGTTCAATGGCAACTACGGAACCCTTCAGATTGGGTTACCACCAGGAATGAAAAAAGTCAAACTTCATTCCGAATCACGACTCGTTTCCGACGTGCACCAAGAATCATCATGTATCATGGTCAATATTGCTGAACAGCTAGTTACCGAGTCATCACAGATATGGCTACTAATACAGCGATTGCTTCGGCTGCTTCTGTCCCTGTTTCACGTTGAACTTGTACTGATCCTTGCGGTCCAGATACACAACCTTGCTATCCAATCCAGCCGCATGTACCGCCTTCTTGAAGTCATCCAAAGGACTCAGGAAAACATCGTAATCGTCATAGTGGATCGGAATTGTGAGGTCGGGGTTGATAAGCTGCATCAGCTGTACGCCCTGTTCTGCGTCCATCGTGACCATCAGCAACGGCATCTTGGGACCAGGAATTGTGGTGCCTCCCAAATGGACTAGCATCAAGTCGATGTTGTGATCCTTGTACCGCTCAGGGATCTCCTTGAGCTCGTCTACCATCAGCGTGTCGCCAGAGATGTAGATTCGGTATCCATTCTCAAAATCGCTACCGTCGCTAGAGGAACCATCCGAGTACCCGAGCTCAACCATCCAGCCGTTTGTAGGCGGTACAGCGCCAAGAATCTCATTTGCAACATTCAACGGGCCAGGAGGTACATGTTTTCCAGGCATTCCTGTGACTTTGATGCTGGGCTTTGGGCCACTACCACTTGCTTGGTCTGACTGCGATACATCGAGAAGCAAACTGTGCCAGAAGTCGAGCGCATGTACGTTCTTGAATGATTCTTCGCCTTTGCCTGTCAAGCATTCCTTGGCGTGTGGCGTAGTGATGATTGGGAGACCCTTTGACAGTTTCTCCTCTACTTCTCGGTCAAAATGATCTTCATGGTAATGCGAGAGCAGGATCACGTCGATCCTTGGTAGCTCTTCCAAATCGATCGCGGGGTTGGTCTGTCTTGTTGCACTGACACCTGGTCCTAGATGAACATGGTCGCCGGCATGAAGGAAGTTGGGATCTGTGAGAATGCGGATGCCTTCCCACTCTAGAATTGTAGTGGCAGTCCCAACGAAGAAGAGCGAAGCATTTGTTGAAGCGTCTGGGGCGTTTTGGGGATGAATCTTGGTCTCTTTGGCGTCGGGTAAAGAGGCAGGGACGTCAGTGTTAAGTTTTGTAGGTGGTCCTGAGCCGTCTGGTGTGATTTGTATGCGCTTCATGCTTGCGCCTGACACGGTGTTTTGCTAGGTAAGATGGATGTTGTAGAAGGGGAACCGTATCGCTCTATCTTCTTGTTCCGTAAAGATTCTTTGGACCGTGACTCTCCGATCTTGGGAGTATCCGACCTCTTTACTGTAGGTGATGAAGTGCGGGCAAGCCGAAAGCAACGATGTAAGGGCAGACAGGAAAAGAGGGCAAAGAATAGGAAGCGCGCTTCGTCTTTGGTGTAAAAAGCCATCACGTAACCCGTAAACAGCAATGACGACAAGACGCGGTAATGGTGTAAATACGGTAGGGTATGCGACGATCATGGGAACAGCTTGTCTAAACGCATCTGAAATGTTCAATCGCTGCACCGCAGCTACTCCTTAAGTACCCATGGCGCAGAGATAAGCTCAAGACCACGGAAGGTGGCTGTGAGCGTGCCTGTGCCCGGACACGCGTATCTCTGACTTGTAGTACGAGGAAGAGCGATGCTTGCGAGTCGCAGAGGCTGAGATGTAGAGGGGTGGAGCTCCCCCGTTGGACTCCGCTGTGGCTGACTTCTCTACCATGCGGGACCCCTGTTGCGCCAAGCCACATACATCGGGGGTGAGCAATGAACACCTGGCGAGTCAGAGGGCGCTTTGAGCTTTGCTTCCAGAACCCATTGCGAGTTTGCAGCAAGATGACAGCTTGTCAGACTTTGCAAGGGTGAACTTACACTCGCTCCGCTTGGTCTATCATTTGTTTAGCACTACGCGTCGCGCCGCCTCATGAACTCGACACGCGATCCATTCAACCTCCGAAGCAAAGCAACATTCAAGACACCCTCCGCCTTCGCTGTCCTCCAGAACGCCGCCAACAAGAAAGCCTCACAAGCCGTCGAATCGACCAAGCAGGCGGTCGAGGCCACGAAACAGGCGATCCAGGACTCAGACATGTCCTTCACCATCCCGCGCAACGTACCCAACTTCGAGAGCGCGCAACGCAAGTTTGAAGATAATGTTTGGAACAAACTACCGGGAAACGAGAAGGGCTTGCCAATGTATAAGGACAAGCCTTCAGGGAAGGTATACGGATATGGCGGCGGTGGCGCGAGGGGGAGGAGAGGCTTTCTGAAGAGTAAGAGGGGCATGTCAGTAATAGCACTGGTCGTGCTCGGGCTTTTCTACTGGTTTGGATGGTCAAGTGGAGGGACAAGTGTGGATATGGTGCAAGATGAGAAGGACAAGGGGAAGAGCTTACTGTCAAACATGGGCGGAAGCGCTGCCGGAAAGAAGGGCAAAGTTGACTGGGAGAAGCGGAGACAAGCAGTAAAGGATGCCTTTCTATTGAGCTGGAACGCATATGAGGAGCACGGCTGGGGCTACGACGAGTACCATCCCGTTTCGAAGAAGGGTCGATACATGGCAGAGCCCAACGGCCTGGGCTGGATCATCGTGGACGCCCTCGATACGCTCATGATCATGAACCTGACAAAGGAAGTCAACCACGCGCGTCAATGGATTGCAACAAGTCTCGATTACGACAAGAAGCAAGATGTCAATACCTTCGAAACGACTATACGCATGCTTGGTGGTCTGCTGTCTGCACACTACTTGCAAGAGACACTTCCGGGCCTGAAGCCCGAGAATCAGAACGAAGAGGACCTGTTCTTGGAGAAAGCAACCGATTTGGCCGACCGTCTCATGGGCGCGTACGAGTCACCTTCGGGTGTTCCGTGGGCCAGTGTCATTCTCAGAGATGCCAAAGGCGAGGCCTCGCACGCTGACGGTGGTGCGTCTTCTACAGCTGAAGCAACTACCCTGCAACTTGAGATGAAATACTTGGCCTTCATTACCGGTGAGAAACATTACTGGGATGTAGCTGAAAAGGTGATGCAAGTCGTTGACAACAACGGTGCTAAAGACGGTCTTCTACCTATTTTCATCTATGCAGACAGAGGAACCTTCCGCGGCAACGAGATACGATGGGGCAGTCGTGGTGACAGTTACTACGAGTACCTTATCAAGCAGTACCTCCAGACCCAGAAGCAAGAACCAATCTATCAAGAGATGTGGAATGAGTCGCTCAACGGCGCAAAGAAGCATCTTCTCACCTATACGAAAAACAGCCACTTTACTGTGTTAGGAGAGCGACCAAACGGAATTGAAGGGAAATTGCACCCCAAGATGGACCACCTGGTCTGTTTCCTGCCTGGTACTATCGCCCTAGCAGCAACCGGTGGCATTCCTCTCGCTGATGCGCGCAAGCTACCCACCTGGGGCAAAGCACAAGAGGAAGACATCACCCTCGCTCGCGAACTCACAAAGACTTGTATGGGCATGTACAAAGTAACCGCCACAGGTCTCGCGCCTGAGATTGCGTATTTCGAGCTGGACGACCCACCAAAGATGTACCGCACCGAGATCTTAACATCCAAGTCTGAGCTCGACACCGGTATCCCCGATGGTGAAGGCTGGAAGGGCGATTTTGATCTCAAGCCAGCTGATACACACAACCTCCAGCGACCAGAGACTGTTGAATCTCTCCTATACATGTGGCGTATAACCGGCGACGACATCTACCGCGAATGGGGTTGGGACATGTTCGAAGCTTTTGTCAAACACACTATCGTAGAGGACAATGGTGGTTTCTCTAGCATTGGCGATGTCACAAAGATACCTCCTCCATCGCGAGACAACATGGAGAGTTTCTGGCTTGTAAGTACCTCCCCTCGCTTTTACCCTTCCCTTGTACATCAAAATAACTGAATTTGTTTACTAATACACAATGCAGGCTGAGACACTGAAGTACATGTACCTTCTCTTTTCCCCTAACGATCTCCTTCCTCTCGATCAAATCGTCCTCAATACTGAGGCTCATCCTTTCCCTCGCTTCGATGCAAGCCACAAGCGATTCAAGACGGGTTGGGAACGTATACCGCGCGATGATCAGGGCAACCTCGTGCCCAAAGAGACCAAGCCTGACGAGAAGAAAATTTAGACGCCATGTACATTTGACTAGAACACTTTGAGACATGTTATCGAATACGCACTCTTCTAGCTTGTGGAGAGCAAAGCCTGGGAGTTGGGTCGGAGCTGGTTGTCATGCATGGATGGCGTTAACACTCATAGAACAGCTTGTGACTGATATGGTATCAACATTGATGTAGACCGAAGTATTGAAAATCGTAGTCTGATTCGCTGTGTACGTCTTTTTCGTGGTATGTATTATGTGCGTCTTCAGTAAAAGTACTCCGGTGCCGATGCTAACATTTGATATATTTGCGTAAAAATGAAGCACATAAATCGTAAATCATGACCTACTCCGCCTGCTACGTCATTCAGACAGTATCCGACGTTCGCTTGTGTATTACCGAGGCGACAGGCGTAGCAAAGCGCAGCGCCTTCGTGCACACAGGTGCTTATAAAGTCTCCACGTAATGGAGCCAAATCAGGGATATTAGTCTGATGTAAATCTCAGCGGCTACTAGCGTTCCTGGGATTGTTCGTCGCCTATGCGTGGTGGGCTCTTGGAGTGGGCGGAGGGATTTCTAAAGGGTGAATGACTGCCTCTGCACGCGTGTTAGCTTCTCCTTCCCAATGACATTGATGGTTCGGAAACATACGAGCGTCTCCGCTTTCCCTCGTCTCTCCTCTCCTCGATGACCTTGAGCATAGTTCTCCGTCCGTCTTTTGCGTTTATGTGTGCATCTCGCATGCTCATGCTGACCTTCTTGCTCGCATCGGCCCGAAGCAGCCTCTTGAGCAGCAAATGTCGCATAAGCACACAGACGAACACACCACAATCACTTCCGTTTTCTTGCTGCGGACTATCACTCATAGGGATAAACCGCAGTCGCTTTCCTAGTAGTTGTTCCAGCTTCATGGTTGTGCTTCGTGCTTCGCGCTCGTTGGACTGAGTCATGGAGTCGTAGTGGAATGAAACGCCATCGATGATGGAAACGAGGAGGAGGGACCAATGTGAGCCGCCTTCGGCTTGCGTGACGTCGGTGTTGTCGTTTATGGGGAGGAAGACGTGTGTTGTGTGAGTGAAGTTGGGGAGGACTTCTTTCAAGGAGAGGGGCTCGGCGGATTGCATGAGCATGTAGGACATGGAGGGGCGGAGGAGGACGATGGAGGCTTTGGGGAAGGCATTGAGCTCTTCGCGTTCGAGGTATTCTTGCCAAAAGGCGATGGCCTTGGGTCTATGTTAGCCCTAGTTGTGGTGTGCCGAGGGGTAATGATGTGCGCACATTGTCCGTGAGCCAGTCGTTAGACTTGATGCTGTCCAGATCGGCTCGCGTTACTGTTGGTAGCCGTCAGTACTACCGTCGTGGTCGTCAAAAGCATATGGAAGCGCAAGTCAAAGAATAGGCGACGCATACACACCCCTCACATCATGATCTGCCCTCAGTCAGTTTTCACCCTCTCACAGTCCCTGCGTCCCGACTCACAAGAAAGATAGGCCTCATCCGGACTAGGATCACCCAGGTGGCGCCTGGCCTTGTCCCTGATTCTCGAAAACGATCCAGGCATGCTGTAGGCGTTTGCACTGTGACTCGGCGTAGGATCGCGTGGCACAGACGTGCTATTGATTTCGTGCGAGGCTGCAACTACTGAAGAGGTATACCAAGATTTCGGACCTCGTGGTTATGCGAGAGGGTAGGGATGTTGGGTGTCTGTCTGCCTCGTTGCACGGTTGGATAGACGCGCGCTCAAATGGTGCACCTCGATTATGCGGGTGAAAAGCAGGGATGACGTATGCGTTTTGGCTAGACTGTGTGGGGGTGTCGACCAAGATAGTTCTGGGCCACCTCGGCACTTAAAGTCTCGCGGCGCGAACAGCTTTAAGCCATCGCAAACGTGTACCACGATTGCGAGCTCCGCGTCTCCAGTATCATGTTACTCTTGTCTGTTTCAACCGTGCTTGGATGTCTGGGTTGTAACAGTCAAGTCTAAGTATAGGACAAAGCAAATCCGGCCATATAGTTGAAGCAGTGTTTTCTTTTTGTATTGCATTATTCATCAGTCTTTTCTGTACAGGCCTGCGTTTACAACCTTGACAAGTTTGTCCTTGCCTTGGTCATCTATAGTCATTTCTGCATGCGTCGAGGCCGGAAAGCGCACTCGACCCGTCTTCTCAAGGCAGTTGTCCGACAATCTTGGCCCCGTTTGCCTGTTCTTGTTTTCCAAACTGCTCAGGCCTCTCCACCTTGAAAAGCCAGCTCTGCTTGTCTTCAATCTTTCCTTGCTGGATACCTTTCAGTGTTGTAAGAAGCTTCTTGCATACTGGGCCTGGTTCTTGCTGTGCCTCTGCATACGTGAACTTGTCATCCTTCGATGGTAGAGTGATAGATTTGATGGGAACAAGAGCCGCCGCTGTTCCTGCAGCAAGGACTTCGTCGAAGGACTTGAGTTCTTCATACGCGATCTAAAATTGTTAGCTCGGTGTAGCACGTTTGTAAAGCGAATATAGTACCTCTCGGGACTCGGCTTCCCAGCCAAATGATTCCGCAATCCTGAGGACGCTGTCTCCAGTCACACTCTGGATAACGTTTTTGCTGTTAGATGCAACAAGCTTGACCTTGTCGCCATCCTTCTTCACTCCAATGAATGCGGACGTTGAGAACTCGTCAACGACGCTTCTGGTCTTGCTGTCAAGATGCAGGGTAATGCCGTAGCCTGCCTTGTACGCCTTCTCACTATGCCGCAATACTGGAGCGTAGTTGCCTCCGACCTTTGCTGATCCAGTTCCCTCCGGCGCGGCGCGGTCAAAGTCCTCAAGGATGACGGCATCTACCGGGTTTGATCCATGGTAGACACCTGTTGGAATACAATAGACTACGAATGTGTACTCCTGTGGCGGGTTCAGGCCAAGCTGCGCTGAGCTACCGAAGAGCAGTGGTCGGATGTACATGGCCGCCCCGGTCTCATGAGGTGGCACGTATGCTGCGTTCATTCCTACAGCCATACTGCAGCAGGCGAGGAAGTGGTCTGTCGGTACCTCTGGAATGGAAATAAAAGAGGCCGAGTGTTGCATCCTTTCGGCATTCTTGTTGGGCCTGAAGATGTTTATGGTGTTATTTGGTGCTCGGAAGGCCTTCATACCCTCGTAGCACTGCATCCCGTAATTCAGACCGGGTGCCATACCGTGGATACGCAGGAATGGATCCTCGACAAAGACTGGGGGAGTCCATTTGCCGGTCTCAACAGAGTAGTGGGATTCAACATGGCCAGCGACTTTGTAAAGTTAGGAAGAGTTCGAAATCGTACTGGTGGGTGACTCCACGGCGGGGTGGATATACGCAGTACAAACACGCTCTGGGCGCCCTCTCGATACCTTCTCATGCATGTCCCAGTTTATGCACTCGCCGAGTTCATTCATAACAGGATCAAGTCTTACCTTCGCGGATCTTGAAGCCCACATTGCTCCAGTCTGCAGTTGAGTTAGCGTGGGCCTTTGCGCTGCGTGGAACGTGCCGGCAACCCGCTCAGCGATTGACGTACCAATGGTGTCGACGGGTGAAGGAGGAAAGTCTGACATGGTTGTATTGTTTGCAGTGATTTACGGTGTCGTGTGCTGGGGCGCGAGCCAATATGCAGATTGGTCAATGGGCAATTTTGAAGTTTTGAACGCTTTCGGAGGACCAGCAAGCTCAGCCCTACTGCGATATCGGATGACGTAGACCGGTAATATCCCCCGGCACCCGTAGCAGCGTACCAAAAGCTCACCAACTGCACTTTATTGATTTCCCATCGCGGAGAATGCTAATGGCGTTGTCGAATGCGAACTAGCTTCGATTGCACACATGTACCTGCAGATTTACCCGCATGGTGGGACCACTCGGGCGTGATGCTTCGAAGCCGCAAGCTTGGCGCTATCTGAGGCATCGAGTGCGTGGCCATAGATGACAGCCCATTCGCATTCCACAGTGAGCCATGGAACGCATCTCACCACCTTGAAATCTCATCTTCTCGCCTCGGAGATCATACCTAAATACTTCACCATGATGCGCATCAGTGGCCCCAGGGCCCGGTTCGCTCTCCTTGCTCTAGTCGTCTTTGCCCTGTGCTCGTTCGTGCTTGTAGGGCCCTACAAAGTAACGCCATCACATCTAGCACCAACATCGGTCGAGAAGAAGCTGGGTCGTACTAGCGAAGCCGTGCTCACCGGACATGCGATCGCGCCAAAGTTGGAGAATGCGACGGCAAAGTATGTGTATCACAGCCTCTGCGCAGACACCATGTACAGAACACAGGCGGACTGACAAGCAAACGCAGGGCAGAACTCGGTCGTGCCGCGTGGAAAGTCTTACACACAACCTTTGCTCGCTTCCCTGAAAGCCCTACCGACGAGGAGCAAGAGGCACTGCGGTCATACGTACACCTGTTCCAACGCCTGTACCCTTGGTATGTCTTACACCGTGTGGCGCACACAAAGGTCATGCGCAAACTGACTGGAATTGCAGCGGGGAATGCGCAGAGCACTTCGGGCAAGTACTCGCAAAGTATCCTCCTCAAGTATCGTCGCGGACAGCAGCTGCCATGTGGGGGTGCTACGTACACAATATCGTCAATAAGAGGCTGGGCAAGCCTGAGTTCAATTGTGAAGATATAGGTGATGCATATGATTGCGGTGTAGGTAGTATCCCTGTACGAACTACATATGAGACATAAACTGACTGCGTACACCAACATCTAGTGTGGAGACAAGGAGCCGACAGCATCGAGCAAAGACACAGCTGCATGAGACCCCGGACCATGAAGCGCTAGGGTAGGGGAAGGATCACCAGGCAAAGCGCATAGCTCAAGAGGATACACTTGCCAATGTATCCTTTACGGCAGCCCAAACTCCATCTTGAAACACGTAAGACGGATTCGCATGCAAGGCGGGGTTGGACGGCACAGCGGACTTGAGATGCGAAATGCCCGAGACACTGTGCTGCACAGAAGGGGGTTGCGACATGGTCACGATATCTCTATTTGCGGGTACTTGCTACGCCGCAAACAACGGCTAACGACTTGGAAGAGGAGCCAATAAGCCAATAGTCAAGACGATAGCTGAAAGGTATCGACGGAGCTCCTCCGGCCTTCCCGGCAGATCGCAGAGTTCGTCAGCCAGGTTTCACACGGCATGTCGAGAAGTGGCTTTGATGGTGGTGGGATGTAAACCGGACTCGAGATTGCCCTAAGCACACCCTAGCGAATGACTGCTCAGTGATCAGCCTTCAGACAGGTGAAGCCCTGTCGTGAAGAGAGCCACGCAAGCAAGATGCGCGCCAAACAGCATGCCCTTATCAAGCCCGATAGAAGAACGATAGAACGAAGCATAGTACTCTACCTGCGACACCGTGCCCCTCTCCAACTCTCCAACCGTGTGTGATGGTCGTGCGTCATGGCAAAGCGATGCTACAGGTCGGCGATCCATTAGGAGATGACCATGGGCAGCCCACCAGTTCGGCGGGCGCGTGGCTTGGGATGGCAGCTATTCGCAGGCGCTAACAGGCTGCATGCAAGATGCGCGGTCGCATGATGTATTTCGGGATGGTCGCGAGGCGCGCACTGTCAGGGGCCTGTTCCCAAAGCAACTTAGCGCCATAACGACTTTTGTTGTATCCCAAACAACTGAAACCTTACCTGGGCCAGCGAGGGGTGATAACGACGCGGCACCCCCTCCATACACCGACTCTTCATCCTCTCCTCCATTGACCGTCTGCCAGCTGTTCACCGCTACTTGTCTATCGACCCTCATCTTTCCACCATGGTGTCCTTCTCCTGCGAGGTACTTACTTGAGCCCCATGTCCATATTCTCCCCACCATTGGCCCCTTCCCTAGAGATGCATTGAAGGCTTACTGTGACGGTCTAGGGCTGTGGAGACGTCCTCACAAAGAAGAAGCTTGACGGGCATCGTAACCAATGCTATGGCGCTTCCTTTACCTGCCTCGACTGCATGGTCCACTTCCCAGGAACCTCGTACAAATCTCATACGGTACGCATCATGCCTTTCTTGCCCTACATGGCGACCCGTTGCTGCTAGAACAGCACGCTGCGACTGTTGCAACTTGTGCGCCCGCGTCGCGCATTGCGCCGTATTCGATTTTTCACCCTTCGCAGTCGCTAACTGACACATGGTAGGCCTGCATAACCGAAGACCAAAAGTATCAGGGCAAACTCTACAAAGAGAAGAAGAAGGGCCCGCAACAGAAGAGAGACAGCGCCTACCACGACAACTCTCAAGCCCTCACACCTCACAACGCATCCGTCGAAGAAGCGCGCGATGATGACAACGCCGTCGCAGTCGTGGATGCCCCGCCTCGTGCGCCCACTCCTCCGCCAGCGGCGCACTCTCTAGGCTATCACGAGCAAGAGTCTATTGAGGCTCCTAATGTCTTCGATTTCCTTGACCCCTCGTCGACACCCAATGTTCCGAGAACGAGCGCGCCCATCAACGAAGCGCGCATGCTTGAAGATAGTCAGCCACCTGCATACGAGGAGCAGTACATGCCTACAATCGCCGACGTCATGAAGTTCCAGGTACCCGACGACGACGAGCCCTTTGCACAAAACGGCTTCTCGTACGGGAACGAGCAAGTTCGTCCTTCCAATGAGCGCTACGACTCGTACACTACACCTGCCTCCAAGCCAAAGCACTCGAGGAACAAGTCGCGCGACACGGACGTTGAAACCACGTCGAAGAAAACCGATCGTAAGCGCAAGCGCAATTCGCCCAGTGAACTCGATATGTCGCTGGTCCGCGCCCAAGAGGAAAGAGACACTATGATGGCAGATGCGCCCGCGACGCTTCACTCTGGTCTCACTGGAGGGCTGAACAGACTGCTTGCCCGACCCGAGTTCCCACCTTCGCCGGATGACTCTGGTGACTATGTCAACTCGCCTCTGAGCCCCATGAAACGCGCCAAGCAGGGTAATTCGAAGGCTCTTATGCGCGCGCAGCGAGAATACGAGGCGGAGCAAGCTAAGCAGCGCAAGGCTGACACCAAGGCTCGTGAGCAAGCAGAGAAGAAGGAGAAGGACAGGGGCCGCGATAAGGAGCGCAAAGAGCGCAAGGCTAGCACTGCTCTCGTCAAGATCAGGCCCAAGAAGAAGCGCGAGGATTCTACAACTGAGGTTCGCCGAGTCCGCCGTCGCCAATACTCGTCTTCGGTGTCGCCACCACCGCGCGAGAGCAAAGCGGTCAAGGCCATTGAGTACCATCGTTCGGCAACAAACTCTCCGGAGCCAGATGGCCAAGGCCAGCTGATTGTGCGGCCCACTGGAGACGTTGCACCTATATCCTCGCCTGCAGGACTGTTCATGTCCTTCATCACCAAGGGCCCAGACTCCGAGCGCGGCATGAGTGTCAACAAGGCTCTGAAACGGTATCATCGCGAGCGTCACGAAAACCATGCCCGCGCGCCCTCCAAGGCTGACGACGAGAAAGAGCTCTGGAAGGATCTACGTCTCCGAAGAAATGATAGGGGCGAGATTGTTCTATTCTATGCTCCTAACGAGGCTTCGTGACTAGACGGGGATCCGGATCTCGACATCATCGTCCGCATGCGCGCGTGGTCTTGTTCTGATCCGACACCAAGTCAGGGATCTGATGACATGATCGATGCCTGACTACAATGGGGAAAAGGTAGTTTCGTGGTCGACTCTTGTACGATACCATGCTGCTCCATACGTTTCTTCCTTTTAGATGATACCCGACATCAAGTCAAAGGTTATTTCGGGTGGGCTCGGTGTACCTGTTCCTGTACATGTCTTGCTTAGGATTTGGCTTCTTCTGTTGTATCTCATATTCGCATGTCTTATTGTCCGCATATACGTACTGTCACGATCATACTTTGTCTGCGTTGCTTGCTTGGTATCTTTTGGCCAAATAACTTGCCCTAATACTCCTTTGGGCTGGACCCGCTCCGTCATTTCGGCTTTGGGTCCTCAAGTATAATTATGTTGACTTCTGCAACACAGTCGCGTCCGCTCTCGCTTGGTGACTTGATGAAATCGCTGTTGAAGGATCCTATCGTGTCATACCCGAGAAGTCGGGCATGCAGTTGTCTCTGCGCAATTGGCGATTTCGAAGCAGAGTACGTCAGTGTCGTGTTTGAGCCGAAGGGGAAGTGAGTGCGCAGAGCCGCAAACACATGCAAAGAAAGAGTGAGGCTCGCTAGCTACATATCTGTACGAATGGAGTGCATGCATACCAGCACGTACTACTGCAGCATCTAGCGCAGGGACAAATTGACGAGCCCACGGCGCAGCTGCTCTGCCGGCTAAAGGCACTTTGTCAGGCTGCTTCTTGCTTGGCGATGTGTAGGGCGTCGGTCTGAAGGGGTGTCATTTACTCAACACGGCTAGAGGTTCGCTTGACCTGATCACCCCATCTACGTGTTCACGGTAATCTGGGGGAGGGCCTCAAGGACAAGCTCCCTCATAGCCGAGGTCAGGGATTCCGCGTAGCAGTCCTGCTATCGCGCGCGAAAGAAAGCAAAACACTGCATCCGAAAGGGTCAAGATGTTGGTCCAGCTCGGCAAACATAGGCTTTACCATACCGAAATGCCTCCGCATACCCAGTACAGGCAGCCGTCCTTTCTACAGCTCACATAGCGACGTCTAAAAGATGTCGAACTGCGCAACGGAAGTGGGTTACTCGATTACCCATTGTGGAGGAACATGTACACGGCCGGAGATTATTCGACTGGCCGCAACGCTCACAGCCACAATGAGGCGAAGTCTTTCCAGAAGCCTGCCTTCTTAGACATGGTGTACCAAAATCGCGCAGATGTGTCGAACCGGCCGACTGGCACTAAGTTGCACGTCGCTCACGTCTCCTATGCTGATTCGATGTTAACTTGTTAGTATACAGCGGGGAGAACTACCCGGCAAAGCACGGTGACAGAGCTACCACAGATTGAGTTGACCGGCCGCCGCGCTGCAGACTCGCGCATGGTCAGATGGCACTGCCGACCAGCCCCAAGACATCATACCTTCGACACAAAGCTTCCAGCACCAACGGCCCGCGGCCATTTAAATGCAAGTCCTAGTCATTGACTAATAAGCAGCTACAACGTGATAAGGCCATCGACGACTACTCGTCAATTGCCCTGGCGGCCTCTGATGCAAGGCAGTCAAGTCAGCCGCACCCTGACATTGCCCCAACTTGCGCGTGGAATATAACTTTGGCCACCTTGCAGCCTGGATAAATCAATTGGTGTTACGCAGACAGCTATCGTCTTCCGGCGCAACATTCCAGCTCCCGTACTCTACACGCCGTCATCGTTCATCGCATGAGACCCTCAGCGAAGGGGTGAACCTTACGGCCTTCATCCACTCTTGGTTGTTCCTTGCCCTTCAGCCTGACACACAACACCGTTGATCTACCCGAAGAATGTCTCGATTTCCATATATCAGCTCCCTGAACGAAAGCTGGCAGGAGCTTGTTGATTGGGACGATGAACTGTATGACCCTCTTTTCCAAGGAGAAACCAGTTATACAAGGGCTCAAGAAGGCAGCTACGTTGCGGGCCACCAGCTATCGGAAAGCTACACGTCCGAGCCTACATATTTAGTATCAGCACCTCCTTCGGTCGTTGACGAACCTCCGTCACTCGAGTATACGGTTTCCGGCCCGCCATCAGTCCTAGATGGACAGTTATCGTTCGAACATGCAAATGGCACTTCACTGTCCTTTGACACCATATCAACTTCTCCGCTAGCTGTCCAAGCAGATAGTCAGTACTTTGGATCGTTTGGTGCGTGCGACAGCAGCCTTCTATCACCGTTAGGTGCTATCAACGACTCGCCTATCTTGGATACACGCTACGATCGTATCCCGGAAACCTTCACCCCTGGTTCTCTCGAGAGCACAACTGAAACCGTCTTCAACCCCTATGTTACGGACTCTTCCCATTCCTTCAGTGGTCTGGATGTGAGAGCCTCCCGATTGTTCTCAAATCTTGGTACATGGGCAGATCAGCCACGGATCATCGAACCGATCGCAGAAGATGATGGGGGCAGAGCAGAAGTCGAGCCGATTGCCATTCCAAACTCTTTTTCGCAGAACTACAATTCGGCACTGCCGTCTTATCGACGATCAGATGGCGAATATGAGCTACACAATCGCAGCAGAGCCATCACCATTCCTGATGCTACACCTGGACCTACCTACTACAATAACCGAACATCAGCCTCTGCATCAGTACGAAGACCTCCTCCTATACTCTCAGTATCACCAGTAACTTCACGTTACCCTCGCGGTGTTGCTTTGTCTAGAAGCGCATCGCTTTCTCGCCGCAAAGCCTCCACTCCGTCCCCCTCGCCTGACTCCTATGGCTGGGTGTCTTACCACCCGAACCCTTTGACGCACCGATTAGCACCCACGAGCACAGAGGGTATGCCAGGTCGGGCTCCCAAAGGGCGGAAGAGAGCCCTGACTGCTGAGCAGCGCCGCCATGCTGCGTTGATGCGAATCGTTGGCGCTTGCTCGAATTGCCAACGACGGAAGGAAAAGTGTGACCCTGGTACTCCGTGCAGAGCTTGTCTCGAACACTACAAAGGGGATTTAGTCAACCATCCTTGTCGAGACCATACTCTTGTTGACCTTTCTGCGGCATTCCTCTCTGACCGCCTAGGTTGGCATCCAACCACTCGGCCCTTGGAATCCTTCGTTCCGGCTGGTAATTTTGAAATCTCTAAAGAGGCTACCTACACGCTTCCTCTAAACTTTGGCTTCGGACCAACGTTTCCTGTCTCGGTACATGCCGTACAACTCAACGACGACAATCCCCTCGTGCACGAGCATGTTATTTACTCCTGGCCACCACAGCCCTACACCGGTCCTTCGCACAAGCACGCCGTTCTCCCGGCTGTGCTAACAGCCGATGCACAATACCATTTGCTGCATACATTAGACTCTCACTTGTCGCTACTAGTAGCGCATCACTTCCGTGCGTTCCCGCTATACTGCTCACCGCTGAGAATCCTACGCGATATCTACGTCTTTTCGCGATCTATTCCAGCAAGCTCCCCTCATCACCGCATACTACACCAGGCACTCAAGCTTCTTGTGCTAGTGCACATTGGCGGTGATATAACGCTTCCATCACGCCCGGAGAGCTCCATGTTGGAGCAGCTCATCCGCAGTACGATGGATATACCCCAGGACCTCACTCCTACACCTTGCTTTATTCGTTCGCAATTTGGTGCGATCATGCCCGGCCTTGCCCTTAGCTTGATGAAGGATGTGCTCAAATCATTGGAGCAACTTCTTTTGAACAAGGACTGTGACGAGTGGCCCATCACTCTGGCTGTTCTTGCCACTGTCCTGATGACGGTAGAGTCTATTCACTACCACGCTGCGAAACTGCCATATCATAACCGCTACGACGCCACACGCTCACCTTCTACTGAAGAAGACGTAGAAATCGACGATCATGGTGTGAAATCACTACTCGAATTTTATCGCGCCTGCTTCTCTGGTTGCCACGCTCGACTCAGACCAGACTGGGAGGGCGAGTCAATGCAGTCTCACCAGACAGGTACACCCGAAGATGCATTCATCCAAAATTTGCGGGAGGCAATTAAAAAGGCGGAAACATCGAACTACCTGGCAAAGAAAGCCAAAGAGAAGAGGCAAGATGAGGATATGGGGTACTTCTTCGACCGACTCGTCGCGCGCCTCTTTACCATGAGGCCTTGACGAGCACACTTCCTTTTTTTATGCTGTCTTCCAATGAGTTCTCTACGTTTCTTCAAAGTTATGATCAGATGGTTACTGGCGTTGAAAAGGTGCGATACCCAGCTTTATAGATCGACTGTGTTTGTTCTTGGATTACTTGTTTGGGATGTTGGTATGACTGATGCACCTATGAACATATTCTCATGATGGAACGGCTTCTCGACGACTCCAGTTCGCGTTTTTCCCCCCCTTCCTTTGGTAGCTCTGGCACAGCGTTCCCATTCTCAGACTATTCAAGGAATCGATCAATACTTCATTGCGTTCCATGCATTGTACGTATCATGGACAGGAAGGCAGTTGTCTCGCTCCAGTGATCAGGCTTTTACACCATACATCCGCTGTGATGCTAAGACGATAACCCACCTAACACCCATCCACAGTATTGCACAAGCTAATCCCAATACTACAAGCATGACAACAATCATGCGCCCTCGCATCTCGAGCGCATCACCTATCTCCAACTTGGCCACTTTCCTGATCTTTCTATGCAGGTGCCACGACTTTCTCTTCTTCCTTTTCTTCGGTTTCTCATCGTCTTGTTCGTCTGACCGGGGACCTATAGCGTCATGGGGCTCAACATGTCCATTGGTCCCTTTTCTACCCCATTTCGAATCATCAGGATCTTGGTAGGGCTCTGGATCGAGCCAGCTGGATGGAGCGAGGTACGCGACGAGGGAGAAGCTGAGTGAGTGTGCTTCTGTTCGGCGGGCGCGATTGCGGTAGTTGACGAGGAAGAGAGAGAGGAGGAAGGACGTGAACAAGACGGGCGTAAGTATAATC